ATCATGCAGAGGATGTTTACAACACACAGCAAGAACATGTTAATAAATGTGTTTTGCTGCATGCTTGCATGCTAGCTGATTCTTCGCCTTCGCACTTTCAATATCGAGAAAATAAATTTAGCGAGTTTGCACACAGGTGTAATTCTGCCATAAAGTAAACTAAGACTAGTCTAAGCCAGATATCACACTCTTCTTCGAGTAACTCGCGTTAGTTCCTTTTTTGAGCAGTTTGCTTCTCAGTATAATGCTTTTGTCGTTTTGACGTTGTTTCTCTAAGACTAAGCGCTTTCATTACTATACATTAGCATTATAATCAAACTTGTCAAACCAGCTGTTATGTCTCTGTATCATCATAGACATAGAACTTTAAACGGGCCGTATCTTTTGAAACTCCATTTCTATACATACTAGAAGTTACTATCGCAAGGAAAGTGCTGCCTTTTTGCCACATGAACTGAATGCAAAACCTCTCTAAAGGGAAGTTTACTTTTGACCCAATGAACTTATTCTTAAATTGTATGCACGGAACATGAGCAAATAACCAACATGAAAATGTTGCCATTGGGTCAAAAGTGGATAAACGGCATACCCATTACGGCTGACAATGCACTCCACTTTAGTATTAACTCTGTCTAACGCCAGACAAATTTGCACTCTGTAACGCCAGACGATTTTACTTGTCAGTGGTAGAGTACTGTCAGTATTAAAATGAGTTAACAAACTTATCTGCTCATGTCTCTAACCCCCATTGGCTGGCAATGCGCCCTACTTTAGTATTTACTGTCTATCCACTACCGTAGGAAGCAATGTTGTATTGGGGGAGCTGATTAGTCAGGGGCGATTATTAGGTAATTATATCCCTCTCAAACTTCACAGATTATCGCTAGTTTACAAATCAGTATTGAAGGGAGTGGGGGGAAGGGGCTTAAGCCCCCAGACACTCCAGTTGCTACAGCACTGCTATCAACACCAGAAAAGTTTACACGTCAGTGCCAGTACACAGGTTAATTTCTCGTCACCCCAATTTAAAATTTTTACGATTTTTTATTGTTTCTAATTGTAGATAACTCAGCAAGTATCCCCCTCCCCCCTCTTTAAAACGAAAAGTACCATTGTAATCCTGACAAAATAACTTTTTCAACGGAGGGTCAGGTGCCTTCAAAACGTTACACAAACCAAAACAATCATATATTTACGAGAAAAAAACTTGAATATCTTCTAGACTCTACAGAATTTGCTCCGAGTCAATGTGAGTAAAATACTCCTTGTATTAAAGCGCTTTCGTGTAGAAAGTTTCGTTTGAATACAGCGAGTAGAAATATTTATTTTGAATTTTTCAAAATATCGGGTTTTTACTCGCACATGCCCGCCACGTGTATGCTTGGCTATATATATAGCCCTGTGCACGTGCAAACCATGCCACTGGGAGTACTTTGATCTGTAGAATCATAGTTAAGGTAGAATCGATATCCGGTTTTTCCAGAATGTAAACAGCGCTTTGTTTTGATGTACGTTTTATGGGCTGCGCTAAAAATATAAATATTCTGTAAATACCGAAATAAAAGATGAAAATCTTCATGAAGACACAAGCTTGAAAATAACACTCTAAATAGTGTTTTCGATTCTGGGTCGAATGAGACTATTACGAAAAAGATATGTCCAAACTCGAAAGGGGCAGCGAAATGTATGGCTAGTTTACATTGTTCGTTATATAATGAAATATGATACCATACCTTACTTGTTAGAATTAGCGTCGTACTATTATTGTATTTGGCAAATGAAAACCATTCAATAAATGTTTTAGTTCTTGTTATTTTGAACGCACGCTTTTTCTTTACTAATTACTACCACAAAGTTTTTCGCGCAGATTATATTTCGCACAGTACTAAAATTTGCGCACCCAGCACTGCGCGAATTCTAGTAATGTGCGAATTTTAATACTGTATTAATGCATATTGTGGAACATTTGATTAAAATTATAATGACAATACTCGACTTTGAACAAACAATAGTTTATAAATTCTTAAACTCTTTCATATGCATTGTAGCCAGCGATTTGTAGTTGGTAGCCATAAAGTAGCCTAGGTAGCCATAGTCTGTCTACCATAGACATAGTAGTCTTCATAGCAGAGATGTGAAGCAACTTTATTAAACCGGTTCATCGCATAAATAAACACTGAGTATATAAACTAAACTTACAGATATTATCACTTTATGTGCTGAAAATTTCGGGTGAAACACTTTAAAGACACATCTTGTTGAACAAGTTTTGTTGAACAACCCCCTCATTTTACAAACGAACTCGAATACTTAATGAGCCCCCTGGAATGCTGACATCTCCACCGAATGCAAATCGTGATTTCGACTATACATAACTCGGCCGCGGGGACTGGACACGAAAAAGCAAGAACGTCAAGAATAGTGTGCTGCCGAGCTGAGGCTCGACAGCACAAGACTATACAAAGTCTCACGATCGCGACGGGCTTAATTTCTAATTTATTCCTAAAATTTACATATAATGCCTTCTCATGTACTTCTATTTTTTAGCTAAAGACAGTAATTTAGTGGCAAATATAAGAGCTTAGAAATTTATCTCAATAAGACCATTTCAGAAACATATGAATCAAGAGCTAAATATAATAGAACTAGTCTAATTAATATTATGAGTATACACAATAATATTATATTTTCGATCATGATAGCCATAGGCATAGCGTAGACAAAATGTATATGGCGACGATCACTGAGTTGTTGAAAAAAGTGACAAACGCTTGTTATGATACCCGCTCAGTTCAAAGACGCTAACGCGGTTCAATCAATCTGACATGCATAACAAATTTTCTGCAACAAAAACAATTGAGATAATCATTCATATCGTTGGCAGAAATAACGATGCGTCAGATCTGGCTGGTTAAAAATTAAAAGAAAAGAAAAACAATCTTCTTATCATAATTCGGAGTAAAGCTGTTGGTACATGGCATACTTCTCATTGCCCTTTTCAATTTAAAGACGTCAATGAAATTTAAACAATAAAATTAAACAGTCGTGAATTTTACTGAAAGGATTTAAAAATTCATTGCCATCTCCAGTTGTAACATCTCGCTGAAGCCATGGTTACATAGAATTCGAAATAATTTCGATATTCAACAATATTTTGAATAAATCAGGTCGGAATGGCTTTATTTCTTTCTGGTGATATACATGAAGGCATTTATATTTAGATCTGCTGTTTAGTGTTCGATATAGAGGTATTGAAACATATGATTTCATGAATTTCGGACGGTAGTTTTAATAAATTATAGCCCACTGATCTATTCGCGATATAATGTCTTATTCATGGCTGTAGGAACCACGGGGGCAGCGGGGGCTTGAGCCCCCCTAACTTTTAGAAGAAGAGGGCTGAGCCCCCTACTAAATTTTAATTTCTAAGTGAATTTCGTTTTGAGTTTTCTTAAGTATGACGCAGCCCCAGCTGTTTGCCCCAGCTCTTTCCCAAAGCTTGGAAGATACAGGGACTGAAGTTGGTAAGTTAACTTTACTACGGTGACCTGTAAGCGCCACCTCGCGCTCTTCTGCATGCGTACAATTAAGTTGGCTGCTGCTTCGTCAAAATTGAGTGGGTTTTTGCATTTCTATCACCATGACAACTGGTTATGCTAATAAGGCTATTTTGCACTTAAGATATCTTTTCTCAAATGCACCCTAGTTTTGCACAGCATGTGGTATGATTGCCGGCCTGGTGTCAGGTTACAAAGGACGTTAGACACTAGTGATTAGTATTTTTAGTTTCTATAGGTCATAAGCTTTCTACTGATATATAGTTTGTCATAACTCTGGTAAATATCTTTAAAATTACAGCCATTTCAAAAATGACCATCAATCCATGTGTACCCCCGCCTTAAGCCCCCCCCCCCCTTTAAAACTCCGAAACATTCAATTCAAACATATAGCAAAACGGCGACTATCCCGACTGTTGGGAAAAACCTTGCGTGATATTCTTGTAAATCCATTTTGTTTTGTATCCTATAGATTTCTTAATTTGTACGATATTATTCCTTTTGATATGTCATGTTTTCATTGTGCTGTTTGGTGTTCTGACCGCTGTATTATATTCTTGAAACTTGTAAAGGACAAAATGTTATTAAAACTTAATTTATTTCGAACGATATAGCAGGGCCGTAGGAAGATAGATAATTGGGGGAGGAGCTTTTTATTTCAAAAGAATTAAATGGATTAATGGACAACACGAATATATGAGTACGAGCGCCCCCCCTTTCCCTAATTATCGATCTCCCTTAAAAATCTGATGAAAAAGTCGTTCCGTTATTGTTTAGCCTGTATTCAATAAGCAGAAATCTATAAAAACAACTTTGTAATAAAGCAATAAAGTAACACAAGAGAAGCCACTGTTTTGAAAGCGTGTGCGTATACAAGAAACACTGCAACAATACTAGTGACACCAACCGTGAACAGGCCAAAAAGTTTTATTTCTGAATTTTAACTGATTGATATTTGTATATTTTCTTTCATTCGTTAAAAATTTATGCTAAAACAATTATATTCACCGGTTACCAATGAGCCTGAGGCGAATAATTATTATTTACTCTAGCTACTTCAACTTACTTCATGTATAAATACTGTATTTATTTATAAACTTTCTTAATGTGTAGTATGTGTGAATACCTACTGTATTCATTTATAAATTTACTGTCTTTATTTGTAAACTTTAAAGCCATCAAGGGCAACCAGAGTTGATATGCACCATCGCATATCAAATTGGAAGGTAAGTACTAGGTTGTACGTTGCGAAGAAATGTGGAATTCTAGATGGACCATGCTGAACTTTGCTCAAACGATGAAGAACGTCGCAAAAACTGGAATAGAAATCCAGGCATTCGCTTACCGTTTTCGCATTTGAGCCATTCTTCTCGAGATACAGATAGTTGAATAAGAACATTTTCAAATAATAAGAAGGAAGTGTTTCTCCCATGAAGGTATCATCTATTGATCGTAAATATCGCGACAGAACTTTAGACATTTGTAAAGTGTGACCTGTTTTCTAGTTAAATTTTTCAACATTTGAAATTCTGAAAGCGAAAACGAAGGTCGCCAAAAGACATTATATTTCATGTAAGGAATAACGTGAATACGGTTATCAAGCAATTTCCCAACACTGTGCTCACGATAATTTGATAACTGTATCTCAGTTAGAACTAATGGAACTCCCACGGTCAAATCAATTTCGATTTTCATATTCTTGTATTTTTCTCCCAGCCAATAAATTGTAATATTGATTCCAACTCTGGTGTTTTTTAAATAATACCTGTCGTCAAATCGAATATTCTGGTACTTGTTTTTATCCAGGAGAGAAACAGCATCCATTACCAAAATTGAGAAGCGATTCTTCAGCTTTAAGGGAGAAAGGGTGGTTGGATCTTTATAATCTTTATTAGTAAAACATAGTTTTGACCACAATTTCTGACATTCTTTTTTAAGAAAAAGTTTTGATAAAAACACGGAAGAATTATCGTATTCACAGTTTCCTCGCAATACCACAAGCTCCATTAAAAAATCAAATTCATCAGGTAACCACATTTTCGTTCCTTCTGCACTACTCCCTGTCCAAAAAAGTTTACTCTCGAATCTCGGATCAATTTCTGAGCATTTCTGTACAAGATCTGTCATCAAACGAAACACTTGTTTCACAATTAAGCAATGCTTTTCCTGACATTCTTCAAACAAGTGAAATTCACCAACGCTGTTTTCTTCGCACAACTCCAGTAATGACGTCTTGGTAAGCCGTCTTAGAATACTTTTGTTTCTTTCTCGTTCGGCTTCAATCATTGTACTATTTTTTTCATTATGCTCGTTGTCTAATGTTGTTGTGTCTGGCGTCTTCGGTGTCCCATTCCCACACGCTTGGGAAGAAGTTACGTCCTCTCCGACTGGTTCCATTATATTAATTAACAGGGAAAAGTTTTAAAATACTCAATAGGGAAAGTATATTTCGTATTTATTAACTTTTAGTAAAAGTGCTCGAATTTCTATATTGTGTAAAACGCAATTCACTTTCATTGCTTATAATTAAATTATAAAGAGACAGGAAATATACAGGAAATATTTGGGATACTGTTGTTTAGAATACTGTTGTTTCTTTCTCGTTCCAGGCTTCAATCAATCTACTAATTCTTTCATTATGCTCGTTGTCTATAGATGTTGTGTCTGGCGTCTTCGCTGTCCTATTCTCACACGCTTGGGAAGAAGCTACGTCCTCTTTGACTGGATCCATGTGTTAACAGGGAAAAGTTAATTCTTATAATAGGGAAAGTATATTTCGTATTTATTAACTTTTAGTAACAATGCTCGAATTTCTATATTGTGTAAAACACAATTCACTTTCATTGCTTATAATTAAATTATAAAGACGGACAGGAAATATACAGGAAATATTTGGTGTTGTTTATATTGGTTGCATGCAAAATCGAAATAAAATGTTGTAATAGTCAAAAAAATTTCAAATACAAATCAAAGTAGTGTTATATTATATACACGAAGCTATAAACATATCTTGACTGGGCTGGTATTATCCTAAACATTATATCGATATAAAGAAAATTATTATTGCATGAGATTATAATAATTTTTGTACAGTATAGGTAATTGTTTACTACCCTGTATATTTCAGGGAGTTAATTTAACTTTCAGTAGTGTTATTTTGAACCGCATTAAACTGCAAATGTGGAATAAAATTGGTTTCAAATAACATAATAGTGAAAAACATATACAGCAAGCTAGTCTTAAAGGGAAATGGCAATATATTTTTTTATTTTCTCATTTGAAAGAACTTTTGAAACTATTTAATAACTTCTTTTACCGATTCTTCATATCTTGCTTAGTTCTTGAAATATTTTCACTTGAAAGAATGAGATGTCAGCCATCTTGGATAAAATTTTGATCTCATTAACGGTAGTTTTAGTGACGTCACAACAGGGATTAACCATATAAAAGTATTCGTTACTGACCAAATATTGATTGGTAGATGTTTTAATTTAAACGTTTCAAGTGATCTTCATATTTCCAAGAGCAAACAGAGTATAATTTTGAGTGCAAAATGATTAGTGGTTGTCTAGATAAAAATATTGCGTGACCCCTGTTGTGACGTAACATGCATATGATAAATCGACCAGTACAAAAGATTTAATCGTAAACAATCAGAATCAGATTACTGTTGACGAATTACATCTTTCCCCAACGGGTTTAGTACCCATGTCAACATATACAAGCGTGAATAGTACGTGTGCAGTACAAATATTAAAACCGTCGAAGCATGCAATTGTAAACCACAGTGAAAAACAGATTAATCAGTCATCTGCGACTAATACCTTTGTTTCGAATTTAACCCCAAGAACAGTTACTAATTCAACTTATTCAAATGAATTTAAAAGAAGACAGAACTTCTGTTTTAACTTATTAAACAAGGGCGGCCCGACTGAAGAAGGCTGCCACAACAACAATAATAATCCACCTCGAGTGCAATGTAAGGATCTGCATAAACAAGATATTAACCAAGCTATCCCCACACGCATTACCTATCGTATTCCATCTAAGGTTAGAGCAAATCGTCAACAGGGTTTTCGGCCGAGTTATGCACGCCGACGGACAGACTGGATACAGCACTTGGATTTGGTGCACCGTATACTGAATCCTTTAATGCAATATCAGTGAGAATTTCACACCGCAACCGTAGACATAGAACAAAACGTAATGGGCGGAATATTAATAATTTAATATCTGTGAGGCACAATAATCTTATAGAAACTACTAGTCGTTCTAAACCTCATGCACTTCCAAGCTTTGGCCTAATAAATGCCCGCTCGTTATTGCCTAAGATCGACGAACTTGCTGTACTTTTGGACAGTAACCCAATGGATCTAGTGGCTATAACAGAATCGTGGCTACACAAGGATGTTGATGATAGCTTGATATCAATCAGTGGCTATAATATCCACCGTAACGATCGTACAGGTAGCCGGGGCGGTGGTGTGTGCGTTTATTCTTTGAAAAACATTCCCTGTCAACGGAGACTAGATTTTGAAAATCCGAATTTTGAATGTCTTTGGTTATGGATCCGCCCGACACGACTGCCAAGACCTCTCTCGGCTATTGCAGTTTGCGTTGTGTATAACCCCCCTGGCAGAATTGCTGAAGAACAACGTGATCTTGATGAATATCTGATGAACACAACGGATTCCATTAGGAATTGTTATCCTAATTGTAGAATCGTATTCCTTGGTGATTTTAATAATTTTGATGTTTCGAACCTAACCCGTAGTCTTAGTTTGAAGCAAGTCGTTTCTGCTCCTACAAGGGGGTCTTCTACCCTTGATCTCATCGTCACCGATTTACAAGATTTTTATGACAAGCCGTATATTCTTGCTCCGCTTGGGTCTGCTGACCATCATATAGTACGATGGGTTCCTAATAAAGTTGATGCTATTACCAAACCTAAACCGATTAAGCGTCTTATACGCCGCTATCCGCTATCCGCCTTGAATTCTTTCGGCCGATGGGCTAGCACGCATCAATGGTTCAGTAATCTGGGTCCAAGCCCTTCCGTAGATGACCTAGCTAATTCCTTCTCATCCCAAGTATCTACAGCATTTGACAGTCTTATTCCCCTGAAATCTGTTAGGTTTTGCCATTCCGATAAACCATGGATGTCTGTGTCTATCAAAAAACTCATTAATGACCGTCAAAGAGCTTTCCATGGTGGAGATGTTCTGCAGTGGAGAACATTGAAATATAAGGTCCAGACCGAAATAGCCGTAAGAAAGAAAGAATATTACAAAACTAAAGTACAACATCTTAAGAAAGACGATTGCCGAAAGTGGTGGCAAGTCGTAAATAAGTTGTCTGGCCGATCTCAGAAGTGTACTAAACTTACCTTTGAAAAGGAAGGTGAATTATTATCAGATTTAGAACTGGCCAATAACTTGAACAAGTTTTACATCTCGGTTAACGCAGACATTCCACCACTAGATATAACCACGTTACCAGCATACTTACCTGCTGTTGATCAAGTGCCTTACATCGAACCGCACGAAGTCTGTGAGAAATTATTGGTCGTTAATGCCTCCAAAACATGTGGTCCTGATAATATTCCAGGTCGCCTTTTGAAGGAATTTGCGCACCTTTTCGCTGAACCAGTTGCGAAAATCTTCAATATGTCACTTGCATCCGGGATTGTTCCAAATATATGGAAAGACTCACATATTACTCCCATTCCAAAAGTTAAACAACCAACTGACGAGGGTGACACAAGACCCATTTCACTAACGCCATGCCTTTCTAAAGTTCTCGAAGATTTTGTCGTTAGATGGATGATCTCTGACGTTAGGAATAATATTGACGCACAACAGTTCGGTTCTTTAAAGGGTTCATCCACGACCTATTGCTTGCTCGACATGTTGCATTGTTGGCTTTCTCATTTAGATTCAACTGGTCATTTTCTTCGCATATGCTTTTTGGATTTTTCAAAGGCCTTCGATCGTATTGGCCATAACATTCTTATCCAAAAACTTGTTGATATTGGCGTTAGGCGATCGTTAATACCATGGATCGTAAACTTTCTATCAGGGCGAAGACAGCGGGTCAAACTTGCGGAAGCTGTTTCTTGTTGGCTTCCTGTTACAGCCGGTGTCCCCCAAGGTACGAAGTTGGGTCCGATCCTGTTCTTAATTATGGTCAATGATTTACAATGCGGTTCGGGGAGGTCTGGCAATTGGAAATTCGTTGATGATGTTACTATCTCTGAGGGATTATTAAGGAATGGGGAACCGTCTGTAATCCAGTCCGATTTAACTTCTATAGCTACATGGGCATCTAATAACCTGATGAAATTGAACGCAAAGAAATGCAAAGAGATGCAAATTTGTTTCTTTCGGAACAAACCTGAACTACCACACTTGTGTGTTGAAGACCAGATCTTTGAATGTGTATCGTCGCACAAGGTTCTTGGATTGATTATCCAGGATGACCTTAAGTGGAACGAACATATTTCGATGATTGTTACCAAAGCATCCAAGCGACTGCATATCCTACGTGTCCTACGACGGGGAGGGATTCCACCGCACGACCTTATCACAATTTATTATGCATTGATTAGATCTACATTAGAATATTGTTGTACAGTATGGCATTGTGGTCTACCTATGTATCTGTCCGAACAAGTCGAGAAAATTCAAAAACGTGCACTGAGGATTATACTGCCAGGTCGATCCTACGGTGAAGCGCAAGAAATGTTGCAGTGTCCTAGGCTGGATATACGTCGAGGTGAACTTTGCGAAAAGACGATGAAAAATATTGCATTGGGCAGTCGTCTTTCTTCCCATCTAACTCTCACCAGTGAGAACGAACATGTGTATAATTTAAGGAATTTTAAACAATTCGCTTCTTTTAAATGTAGAACTGATAGATTTGGTAATAGTTTTTTCCCTAGCATGATTAGTGTTTTAAACAAATAATTGTTCTTAGTTATACGTTCTTATTTAATAATCTAATGATATATTGTAATATAGTTACTTTTAGTATTGTAATTCCCATTCAAATCAATTGTAAAACACATTGTAATTCATTTTCATGCGATGATGTGTTATTAAAATACCATTATTATTATTATTATTATAATCCGCGGTCCCAATAAGGTAACATGATGTGATGATTGCGGTAATGAAAATTTGCGTGTTATAATATTATCATTCACCACACTTCAAATTCTAGCAGGAGTATTTTTGCTTGGAAAAACTAAACTAGAATTTCGTCCTAAATGCCATTTCATGCCTTTTTCCACGAGCAAATTATTTCAGCCATGGTTTAGGTTTCTGGCGATATGTTTAAATTTCAGTCCTTCCGAGTCAACTGACAATGATAAAGTTTATTATTATTATTTTTTATTTATTATCATTGACTCATATAGCTAGTTACGGACCTGCAGATGATGGTCAAATTCAAAATGTTAACAGCTTAACATCATTTTCTCACTTTGATATATAATTGCTGGTTGACCACCTACTGCAGGTAGTTCTTAGGGACTTTACACTGGGGGGACACAATTGCCGGCTGGAGGGGCCACAAAGAGGGCTGGGGGGGACAGGGACATAGCCAGACCTGAAAAAGGAGGAGCCACGAGGCCAGGCTAAAGGTTTAGTAATGCTATATGTTTGCTGCAAAAGAGCTATATGCAGAGTTGGTGGCATTGTCGTGGGGGGGGGGGGATTATTGGTTAGAAAGAGCTTGGGTGGTTGTGGCCATGCACTAGACGAGGACCAACTACAAATTTCCGAATTGCAGCTATCAAAAGTAAGAATTGTATGCTATATTTTATTTAGCTTTTCGAGGGTTGGACAGTGAAACACAAATCACCATTGTTTGCCTATCCACACGCGTATAGGCGTAGTATATAAAGAAAACTGAACGCAATTGTGTAAGACTTAATGTGCTGTAGACAGTAAATTTCAAATGTAATATAATGTAAGTTATGTTGTTATATAACCACTGAGGTCCGAGTTAAGTCGATTATTAAATCATAATAACAAACTCAATTTTTCATACTGGCAAAACGTTCGATTATACTCGGTCTGCATGAATTGGTTCGGTATCGTAGATGTACATCATGGCCAAAGAATTCAAACGACCTTCAGTTGTTGATTACGCAAATATGTCTTGAGAAGCCGTGGAGACGAAAAACTGCGCCCAACGTAAATGCTTGGAAAAACATTGGGATCGCAAAATGATAATGTTGCTATGTGATCAGTTGATGAATCAGTTGAACTCGAAAATTCTCACTTCCATTTAGCAACCCACATTCGGTACTGCGCTACCCTGGTTCCAGAGGTTTAAAATAAACCTCTGGTTGAAAGCGGCAATTGGTTCATCGAGCCGCGCCAATCAGTTTGAATTAGGGTCAGAACCTGACTCTGTCTCCTGATTGGATGATTGTGTTAAAGCTCTCTGATTGGTTATAGATGTTTTATTTGAATCAATCAGAGAGCTTTAATACAATCATCCAATCAGGAGACAGAGTCAGGATCACTGCACCATTCTTTGTTGGAAGTAGCGTATCAAACAACCCAACAAACGCCGTTTCTTCATTAAATCGAAATCGTTCAAGAATAGTATCCAAAAATGAGATATAGCTACACTGCTACGCGGAAATATTCAAGTCCGTAAGTAGAATCGTCAACATCTGAAACATCTGGGTTATCTCGATACACTGATCTTTGAAAAACTCTTGGACACTCTACTTTGATATTGAGGCATGTTCCTGTGTCGAAAATCAACTTTACTGAAGTAAGTATATATATTTAGCAATAAATATTTCCAAAGGGGGGGGGGGAGCCGCGGCTCCCACGAATCCCCCCCCCGTGGCTACGTCCCTGGGGGGGCATGTCCCCCCAGTCTATATATCTTAAAAGAGGCCCTGCCTACACTGGTGCAGGCCGTTCAAGCTACAGGGAGACATAAATACGTGTATTTGTAACAAATCTAATAATTTGCATATATCCACTGATGTTCTAAAGCGGCGTGTGTCCCAACAACTTTTGAAAATGATTAATTGTACACACGTAAAAATCTCACAACTTGTCAACAAGATGTGTACTTTCGCAACAGGCTTGTAGCAAGCTTGTCAACAGGTTGTGACAATGCTGTTATTTTATCAAGTTGCTACAAGCTTGTCACTCACAACTTGTTGACAAGTTGTTGAATTGCAGGACGATAACAAGTTGTTGGATCAACTTGTAACAAGTCTGTTGAGTTCAACAACCTTGTAGCAAGTTGCCAACAAGCCGTTGACAACTTGTCAACAAGCTGGGAACAAGCAGTGCGAACACATCCTGTTGACAAGTTGTTGGAACAGCATTGCTACAACCCTGCTGCAGGTTTGTTACAACTTGTGCGTTTTTACGTGTGTAGTCTTGTCAAGCGAATTCATATTGACGAATATTGACGACTTTGTACACTTTGCAAATATGAATTGCTCAACTTTTACGGAGCGCCTTTCTTGGTACAGCTAAAAGTAAGATATAATTAATGTCCAATCGGTAGTGGTTGAAGCCTTAGCCTTATTCGTTAGCAGGATTTTCGTCAGGCACTGATTATGCTGTAAATCGCCAGAAATCCATATAATCTCCATTATATTGAATGGGAAACAAGCATCGATTCTGGTGCATTTTCATCTGGAAATATTTATTTATTTATTTATTTATATATATTCATCTCAACTAGCATGCATCGGCAGGTTTTGAACACTACTGATAAAAAGAAGTTAAGAGAAACGAATGAATTAATTATTTCATAATAAAATTAATATTTGAACATTGTGGCTGACACCTACGGCCATACACAGAACAGACTTCATCATACATTATCTTCAAGGGCGCACCGAGATAAGGGGTGGGACACCCCCTCCACACACACTTTTTAGAAAACTCGTAGGTAAAACGAATATTATGTGGGAAAAAACGCAGGGCGGAGCTACGGGGGGGGGGGGGTGACACCCCCCAGAAATTCTATTCCAAGCTTCAGTCGGCAGGACTGCTATTTCAGTCGCCAGACGAAAATATTTTTGACGAATACTAACTACTACCGATATGATGTTGACCTGTTATATAAGAAACGTGGTTACTTGAAATTTACTCAGCAGGATAATCATTATAATCGGTTAGCAAAACAAGCCCAGATTGACAATTAAACGACATAGCGATACAAAGTATATGTATAGCATATTTGATAGGTAGAACCGCCGAACACAATATATTGCCGCCAAAAACTCAATTATCAAATATGGCGATTTAGAACAGGTTTTATTTAGAACACAACGGGCGTAACTTCAGGGACCGCGGAGCAGGGGGAGGGGGTGCAACAATTGCCATACATATGTAATTTTTACTGAACTAAGAATACTGAAATCTTTCAGATCAGTTAACAATATATTTATAACTTATTAGTATAAGTATTCGATTGAATGGTTGGTTTAAACAAATGACGGGTAACGTTAGATTAAGGCCCCAGTTACACGATACCGGATTCGTATCGGAGCGACATCAATTTAAGGTGTTTTCCAGTCTTGTCTGCTATTACAGCTTTTCATATATGAACTTTTTGTTTAATCATGTTATATTATCAGAATTTTAAGTGCCAAATTCACCTCGAGTAAAATTTGATGTCGCTCCGATGCGAATCTGGTATCGTGTAACTGGGGCCTAGAAGTCGTCTATTAAGAAACTTTTTAACAGCAACTAGTAAATTTGATTGCATTTCCGGGGCTCTGGGAGGTCTCCAATTTCCCTCTGACAGACTCACGCCTTCGACGTTTGCTGTAGCCCCCTTAATCTAAAAATGGCTCCGTAGTTGACCTCCATCGGAAATTCCACAAGCTTCCATGGCTAGCAGGTGGTCGGTGCAAGCTCGTTAGTCAGTCGGTTAAAATGACCTTACACCCCCCCCCTGAAAAATTTCCTGGGGACGGCCCTGAAAAAAACGTAACTTGTCGATAATGCGCGAATGAAATCGAAACCTTGTCATCCCCCCCCCGGGCATACCCCTGGGATTTTGGATTTTGAAGTTTTGGTCAGGTCAAATTCCCTACATATATTTGTAATTCCCGTTCAAATACACCACGTATTGTGAAAAATTGGAGTTCAAATACCCCACCCCATGCACGAATTGGAAGCTACAGCATTTCGTAATTTTGGAATTACAAAGTTTTTCTTTCCTTCAGAAAGCCGTTCAAAGCCGTTTTCGTTCAAAGCCGTTTTCTTGTTTCCAACCAAGGACAAAGTTAATTTCTTCACACTTGAACTCATCCATGGTCATCGACACCATTTTGGATTCAGCACATGCACGTGTTTAAAAGAAAAATTCAAATTCCCGACCCCCTAAGCAAATTCCCCACCTTCCACTAGAAAAAAGGTCAAATTTCCGCCTTCTTCAAGGAGGGGGACAGGATGTCAAGATTTCGAATTTGATTCGCGCATAAATTGATTGGAAACTGTCGGTAAATTTCCACGGTTGACGTCGGGGGGGGGGGAGGTGAATAGACGTGTTTAAACACTGTTTTTTTTACCGGTTCTCTCGGTAGCAACTTGAGTATTGATGTCGCCTTTGACATTGTCCGCGCTGACAAAAATTAGATTTGTGAAACAACGGTGTGTCCGTATAATTAATTTGTTCAGAATTTTTTTTCATTGTTTCCCGAATCCTAGGAGGTAGATATTCATATTGCCTCTGGAATGGGAAGCATTCAGATATTTTGCAACAATATTTCAGTTTCACTTGAATTTTCACTGACACTGTGTGCTTATGATTCATATATAAAAATAAAAAAATAATAATTTGTAACGAATAGTTGTTATGATGTTAATATTTCCGCAGGTTTACATTATCCGCCGGCTGCCGTTGAACCGTTGGATACCTCAATACCTCATTAAGTATTCTTGTATGATGTTGGCATAGAAACAAAGTAGGTTTTACAATTTGCATTAATGCGAAAAACAGGTAGCTAATGCCATGCAACACGAAAATTTACGGGGGTAAATTTGAAAACCAAGTATAAAATTAGTCTGTTCATACAGAATGAAAAAATAGGCGAGTTTACAGGCATATTAAGTTTCACACCGTTTGGTAGAAACGATGCTATTTTTTTACTGAACTGAAGAATACTTTCATGTTGCGGTCTTTAATACATAATTGATATGTTACAAGGAGGCGGTTGGGACGAGCGGTATTATTACAGACGGCCGTTTCTATATAGCAAACTGTGTTTTGTTTAGCATATATGGAAATTATTTACATAAACCTACAAACATAAAATTATTAGGAAAATATATAGGCTTCGAGAGTTTAACGACCTCTTAAACTTCAAAATTCAAAGGGATAAACTAGAACATCATTAACGAGATAAATTTTGAAACGATCCGATATTGATTATTTTGATAGTTCGAGGTGCCATTGTGTGGATTGGGAAAACCTCGAAACACCTGTTTAAAAATTGCGCAGTGCCCATCAGCAGGTTATCTTACAGTGCTACGTGTACGAAACATGGGAACTACATGAAGAAATGAATTCAAAAAGTATGAAAGAATATGGATAAAGCCGAATGTGGATGGATTTAAATAGATGTCTGTAATCCTATCACAGCCGTATCATTAAATGCTGGTGTTACGAAACATTGGCATTGATGCCTTTCTGGCTGCATTTGTGTTGCTAACGTTATTCAGTTGTCAATGTAAGTAAAAATATCACGACATCATAGTGGATATAGGAAAATTTATACAAACCTAAAACATACAAGAATAAATAAAAAAATTAACGACAATATCAAAAAACAGACGGGGCGATATTCTCACTGAAGTTAAAAACTGGCGGCTTCTGTTACATGTAAGAGATCTTTATTCGCCGGAATAGCTTATTGTTAGGGCAACTGGCGCTTAATAATAATGCAAGCTTTGAAGAATTTAAATTAGTTTATTTGAGGTGGAAAATTCAATTCGACAATATCATCGAAAGTGGTGATATATACACATGCTTATACTACTCTTCAAATATCGAGTCCGGGTCCTGCATGTTTGGGAGACATCATTCTATATTCTCAATTTTGCTAAGCAATCATATTCATGCATTAATCATACTTTAATCTAAATGAGTTTTTGTAATTGTATCCATAGGATGTAGTAATATAATGACTGCCATGTTACTGTAAATACTTTGTAGTGCTATATGTAATATGAACTGCGGAAAATTACTCAAGTTCACGGCCCACGGGTCTGTCATGGCAATTGGATTCAAAACAGTGCGAAATAACCTGTATACGAATATATTTTTCAGCCTTTCATCTCAGTTCTACTATTATACATATATAGATGGAGGCTGAGGAACAAATATTTTTTTTCAGCTAATGCAGACTGTATAGCATAGATGGAATCGACCAACCGCCGCCTACATATATTGTCATTGAAAATGTAAATTTTCACTAGTACTCAAGCTTGTTTACTATAAAAACTAGAGTGAATCAATATATCCATAGAGAATAAATAGAATTATGCCTATCGACAAATATACATCAAAACAGGAACAATAAAATACCTCTTCTCATAAAACTGCGACTAAATTAATTTCTTTATCAGTGAATACATTATATCCTAAACTGATGCTTTCCGCTTTATTGTGATTATGACTTGAATGATTATGATCATGATTTGAAGGCGACAAAAAGAACCTCCACACAACGGGCACCTTGGGAATAAGACTTGCTGTTCGTTGTTTGGAGGTGTTTGACTGTTAGGTTTATTGAAGTTTGACCGGCTTAATTCCAGACCATCATATCTTGACAGACTATGGCGAGACCAAGCTCGTTTCGCCACTGAGTTCATGGATTCGATTTTCGCTGCGTACTCATGAAACTTAATAATTATGTAAAAGCTGTGGGTTTTCTCCGGATACCTTCGGTTTCCAGCCACAGAGAATGTCGACATGCAGCGGGCCGTACAGGATGGGTTGTGACAATCGGTCGCAAATCCCACACTGACCCTTCTACACTGCCCTTCTACGATAGCTATATGCTCCGTGATCAGACAAGAGTCGAAAGTCTTTGACGCGAGCGGGTTGAGCTGTGACCTTTGCAATTCAGCTTCGCTCTGAGCTGCAAGTGGAGATGATTAGCACACTCCACTTATACTGCCACCATTCCTATCGTATTAATCACTAGGTTAAGTTTTAACACGTGATAAAACTGATAGTTTCAATCTATAGTTTCTTCCTTACATACAATGTACACTGGCTTGAGCCGAAATTTCGGTAACTGACTTGCGGTAGTGTATTTCGGTAGAATTACAAAGGCGCGGTCCCATGATGTTCCAAACATATACAATATATTCCAGTACATTGGTTACACCATGCACAATCCAGAATACTCATATTATCTAGATTTTCTCAGGTTACAAGGACGAGCATTCAGGAAAATATATAGTTTAAAATTGCGAATTACATTTCATTAGCTACATGTAAATTTTGCTATGTGTACTTAATATTGTGTATAGTTCTAAAATGCGCGGATAGATGATCGGTAAGCTGTTTAGCTGGGGCTGGCTGTATCAAAGTTAAAACTCCGAACTACTTTTTAACCATTCGTATTTTGTAGTTAAATAATAGTTATAGTGGTTAACTTTGCAGTAAATGTAATTAACCTTAACTATACCTTTTTATAACCGCCCCTTGAAAAATTGGACCTCGTTTTTTGTCTAAAATTGAATTTTACCACGTATAAAAATTTACAGCAAGCTTGGAAAAAATGTGAAATCCATACTATAAGATTTGCTGTTGCACCACTAAATGGATATCCATACTATTTCGATACTATATATATCCATAGTATGGAAATATACAATTATTAAGCCTGGTTCACATATGCCTGCGGTGTGTCGGCGGGCTATTGTCTTTAGCAGTTCAACCAAATAATTCACAAAAGAATGTATGCATCAACAGCTGTAAACAATGACGTCGCCGGCATATCGCAGGCATATGTGAACCAGGCTTTATAGATAATCAAAAATCCATTCTATTTCCAATAAAGGTCCATACAATTTCCATTCTATGAATTTTCAAAATTTTTTCCAGTGTAAGTTTTCTCGCATGAAATATAACAATTTCTATAAATCATTTCTATTTATATTTAGATGTGCAGGGAGACTTGTACCACGAACATGCAAAGTTACTCAACAAGCTGTTCCATAATTACGATGAAATATCTCGACCTTCACCTGGTTCCCAATATCCTGTCAATGTCACTCTGGGAATCGCAGTCGCACAGTTAGTCAAAGTGGTTAGTAAAAACTGTTTATTCAAATTTCCACTGATGTGAAATAGTTGAATCCATCTTGTCTTCTGTTGTGTAATTGTGTGCAAATCAAACAGTCTAGGCCAGTGTAGATAATAACAATAGCACCAGGAATTAAGCTGCGGATTGAAAGGGAGTCATTAAGGGCCTTGCATTGTGTTATTTTCAGGTAGTTTTAATAATCTCTTTCACAGCTTTCTGGTGCATGAAAGTACGTCGTTATTGGGCGTAAAATGTATGGACACACTAGGGGGCGGTTGCACGAAAGCCGGATAGCCCAACATCCACCGGATCAAGTGGGTTTTTTTCAACCGTTGTAAAAGTGTTCTATAACTCTATAAGAGCTATAAACTACATAATTATATATGAACTTCACAATTAATAAAAGGAAACTTCAATTTATAAATACTAAAGTTTAATCTGGTTAAATCAATCAATTTCAGAAAGCTTGAAAAAATCACTATCCCATGGACAGCGCTATCCATGCAGTCTTCGTGCTGAACCGGCCCCAGTAACGTGTCCTAAAATTTTATAGCAAGGAAGGCTCATCTATAAGGATGCTTTGAGGCATGAACATCGCAATTTTTTGTATTCTACGATCTCCTAACAGTGATGTTATAAAGTTAATGTTTTATCATATTAAAAAATGAATACTTTTAAGTCTGATCCTTGACAATAATATATCTTATTGGATTCTTCTGAGCCCAATATGGCAAAATATTAAGTCGAGACTTCAATATTGGGCGAGACCGAAGGTCGAGCCTAATATTGAAGTCGAGACTTAATATTTTGCCATATTGGGCGAAGATGAATCCAATAGGCGTTCCGAAAGTTCCGAAGATGAATCCAATAGGAGTTTTATTATATCGAACAAAACAATTCAATAACAAAAATTGTCAATAAGTGATAAAGTAAATACAGCGAGACTAATATTAAAAGCGACAACATTACTACATATATCGGCGGCGAATTTGCTTAAATAACTAAAAAAAAGTTAATAAACCTGTTTTTACAAATATGTGTGCATAAATAAACTCAATTCCATGTATGTTTAAAGGAAATTTGACCTAATTTTAACGAAAAAAATAATATTACTAACTTCTAGGCTGTTGCAAACAAATAAATTTCGTGAAGACAAGTTTTCCCGCGCTTTTATAATTTTAAACAAAACTTAAACAAAAAATGTCCCAAATTCTTTTCATTATTCTGCCATATCGTTTGTCGTAGCCTATGTTTGAAATTGATAAAACATCTGAAAAGGGTTGAAAAACCATGAAAAAAGCCACAATTCGCAACTGTCCAATAGGTTCCTGTCCAATATCGTAAAATATTGGATCGGCACGTGACCCTCTCAACGATTACTGATTGGTTAAGTGCGCCTGAGTGTATAATAAATAACTTTGGCCTTCTCACCCTGTAAGCAGACACCGATTTCCTCTGAGGAAGGAAATAAGGCTCTCATGCATGACCTCTGCAGCCTTTGTGTTATTGATTCGTGCAAAACGCTTGGCAAAGTAAACTGATTCTAACCACCGGTGGACCGAGCCTGACTGTGTGTGCGTTTATTTTATTATTCTGCATTAAAAGTTTACTTTAAATTATAATGTATAACTTTACTTAAGCGCCGTTTACACTACGCTCAATTTTTGGTACGGCACGGATAAAATTGGTACCCGTACCACTTTTTTGGTTCTTGGACTACCTATTTAAGTAGTCCAAGAACCAAAAAAGTGGTACGGTACCAATAATAGAGCGTAGTGTAAACGGGGCTGACCATTTAGGTTGTCCAAGAACCAAAAAAGTGGTACGGGTACCAATTTTATCCGTGCCGTACCAAAAATTCCTATATATATGCATTCTATGTGTTTTGGCGTGGTTTTAGTGTGATATAATGATGTTGTCATATGCCGTATGTTGTCAGCAAATGGATGCCGTTCTTTAAAATTAATATTCAAACAAATAATACCTAAATTGGCAAACTGATTCACCTTCATTCACCCGGAAATCAATTGCATATCCTCTATTACATAATGAATCACTTAAATTTACTAAAGAGTAAAACCTAGGAATTGTAAAAATTCAAGTAAAAAAATAGCAAGTTAGATATTTGTAAAAATCTAGTTTCATTTCACAAACACTCTATTTCCAGCATATATAGCTATAACTACATTCTAAAAATATACGGTCTAAAAATAAATTCTATTTCGACATTATTGATAATGACACGTTGGAAACCTAGCATGCTCAACGGAAATCAGACACAAAACAGATTCTGCTCGCAGGGTATTCAGAAATATATTCAACTATTTTTAAAAAATCCCCAGCACAACACCAATTATTAACGCTCTATGCCAATCTCAATTGTAACCATAACAACCGCATTAGGCGGGGAGCCAGTACAACGCCAGGGGCCGTTAGTATTCAGACCCAAGCGCATTGTTTTACAGAACTGACCATTCTCGTACCCAGAGCCCTTGGCCAGAGCCCCTCGTCGCACCGCGCGTAAGAAGGGCTCTGGGTACGAGAATGAGAACTGACAACACAAACAATCACTACAGGGCTTCCTCGGGAGTTGTGAAATAAAACACGATAAAACATCGTCGGTCGATAAAAGGTCATAAAACACACCAGAGACTTAATATTGGTATCGTATTATAATTATGAAATAATCAAACAATTCGATCTAAATTAAACAAAGAATATTTGATGTAACTCATGTCTTAAATGAGAATATAAATATCTGGCTTGTCTTAGGAATATAAATATTACTTACTTCTGTGGCAATATCCAGTCATACAATTAACATAACTCAGGTTAGCAGTTCTTAATGTCCTCAATCTACTCTTCAAAACAGGTTAGCAATCAGTATTTCAATACAAACAGTTAAACAGACTCGATCTACAGATCTCTCACATTTTGCGTCCTTCTAACGTGCGGTCTCAAATAACAAAACTATTATATTTCTTAAATGTCAATTTAAACTAAGTCATCTCAAAACGTTTCTATTAATGTTTAACTAAAACATACGTATATCCGTTGATCCAACGAAACATCCTCCCCACCCAATAAAGGGGCAGTCCTTATTCTTCTTCGTTGTATCCCTCTGCTGGATAAATCACCGCAATCTTCGTTACTGGTCTGATATACTGTCCCACAGATGTCTTCACTTTCACGTTTCTGATTTTTCCGCCTTGACCCGGATACACTTCGACGATTATTCCAAGCATCCACTTCCCTCGTATGGCGTTATCATTGGTGTACAGTATGTCACTACGTCGTTCACTTGCACATTACGTCGTTCCACTTGCCATTTCTTTCGTAGTACTAACGACGGATACACATCTCGACTCCACCGTTTCCAGAATGAGTCTACCAACTTTTCCACAAACTTGAACCTTTCTCGGGGATTCTTTGTCGGCTTGAATGGACCTTGGGGGACTTCTAACGTCGCTCGGTCAAGGATTATGTCGTTCGGACATAGATACGACCCATCGTCTGGATCGTTGGGCACTCTGCCAATGCGCGGTGGTTAACTAAATTTGCAGATTCCAGTAAGTACGTATACAGTTCGAATGGCGTCAGAACTCGGTCGCCAATATCTTTCTTTAGAGCACTCTTACAACTATTTACCAGGGCCTCTGTACACCCATTGTGGTGAGGGGCTTTCGGGATAGAAAACTTCCACTCCATTCCTTTCTCTGCGCAAAACTCTCGGAGTTGTTTCTTGTTCCATCCTGTCACCATTTCTCGTAGCTCTCGTTCTGCATCCACGAACTGGGTCCCATTGTCGCTCATCATAACTGCGGGTTGATCTCTGATCGAAAAGAATCTACAAAGAACTTGTAGAAACTCCATCGTAGAACAGACCACAGCCAATTCAAGGTGAACTGCTCTTGTGTTTAGGCAGGTAAACAGAACACCATAATGTTTTGTCCTTTTGTTGCGTCCAATTTTGACAACTATCGGTCCGTGTGTGATGAAAAGGTGGTGTATCAGGTGCAAGGCGAATCTGTGGAAGGTCCGCCATCAGTTGTGACTCAACTTTATGTGCCATTTCACGACAGAAAACGCATCGATGCTTCACAGACTTCGCAAGATCGTTGGCTCTTAAGATTCAGTATTTTCTTCGTGTTTCGACTGTCGTCGTTGCCACTCCATGATGACCAATCTGATGAGCATGACGCACTATCAAGAGCGAAATCCAGTGATCATGAGGTAGTAAAACTGAATGCTTGCAATCAGCTTTTGAAACGCGTCTACCAACTCTTAGTATCCCTTTATCGTCGCGGAATGGGCTGAGAGATTTGAATTCTTCTTTCGCTACACGATCGTTCAAGCTTTTCTGGCTTCTTGAATCCAGAACAACTCTGCTTCTCGCAATTCCTGTGGCGCGAGCGGGCTCTTCATATCTAGACTATGGTTGTTCTCTCTTCTTTCTTCTCGCCTTGCGCGGACAAAATTTTGAAGCAATCTTCTTATTCGTGAAAAACTAGAAAATGTCCTGATATTTATAGCTTCTTCTGCTTTCGCTAACGCCAACTTGCAAACTATCTCGGCTTTTCGACGCTCTTCATTCACTTTGTCGAGCTCTTCGTCAACTGCTACTGCTTCCTGTTGCCACTCGTCTTCCGATAATTGAAGAAACTCTGGGCCTTGTTTCCACCGATTGCTGAGCTCTGGAACTGTGATACCACGAGATAATTCGTCTGCCACGTTTTGTTCTGCTGAAACGTGTCTCCATTGGAAAGGATCCGAGTTGTTTTGACTAGCTCTCTAGCGAACTCTCTAGCGAACTCTAGCTGAAATGAAGGGCTTGTAACTTCTAGCTTGACTGCAGATCCAGGCTAAAACAATTCCACTATCAGTGAGGTAAATGATCCTTTCGAACTGTAAACGTGATTCTTCACGAATGCTCTTTCCCAATCTTGAGGCTAGAACAGCTGCTTGTAGCATTCCTTCAGTGGCGCGACTTTTGATTTTGCAGCTATGAATCTCGATTCATATTTCCCGTTACCGATGAGCCATCGTAGGTACGCACAAGCTCCAAAAGCTTTTCTTGAGGCATCCGAGAAAACACATAACATTAGCGATCCCATTGCAGCCGTAGGGGTTAAACACCGGGGAAATGTAACTTCATTTAACTTTTCTAGCTCTTTGAACAGTTCTATCCATTTCTGGCAAGTTTCTGCGGGAAGCTCTTCGTCCCAGTCATATCCCATCTCCCATAACTGTTGCATTCCGATCTTAGCACGGATTAGAAATGCTGCTGCAAATCCAACGGGGTCATATATTCTCGCGATCTGACTTAATACCTTTCTCTTCGTTAGGCGTAGCTGGTTCTGACCAGAATCTTCCGTATTTGTGAGTTCGAGTAGGTTGTTCTTGATCTTGAATGAAAACTTGTCAGTATGATTATTCCACTCGATTCCAAGAACCTTTTCTTCAACATCTCCTTTGAACAATATCATCTCCGTCTCATCATTGTTATCGTCTTCTTTTAGTGTCTTATTGGAAGTCCAGCCTTGGACATTAAAACCGCCTGTCTCCAGTACCTTGTCGATATCGTCTGTTTGCTTGCGCGCTTCCTCAACCGTGTCTGCCGAGTCGCAAATATCGTCCATGTATGAGTTCTCTTTGATGGCTTTCGCGGCTTGTGGGTGGAGGATTTCGTTTTCTTCAGCGGTCTTCTGCAGGGTTATCTGCGCCATAGCTGGGGCTGGCTTATCTCCAAACGTAAGCACCGTTTTCACGTACACATCAGGTTCTCTTTTTGTTTCAAGGTTTATCCACACGAAGCGGTGGACATGTTGATCTCTCTCAGGGATAAGAACACGATGGTACATTTTTGAAATGTCACCACTGACAGCTACGTCCTTCTCTCTGAAACGCAGAACGACACCAAACAGATTGTTTAACAGATCGGATCCCTTTTTCCAGTAATCATTCAGTCTGTTTCCCTGGTATACAGACGACGAATTGAACACAAGGCGGACTGGGGTGCTTTTCTTTTCTGGCCGTAACACTGCGTGATGCGAGATATAGTGGACTGGACCCTTGTAATTCTCCATTTCCTCATTGGACAGCTTACGAGCAAACTTTATTTATTTCTTCCATCTCTACCATTTGATTGTCATACGCTGTGGCTTGATCTGGGTCCTTTAAGAGGCGACGTTCAGTCGATTCCAATCGTTTCACCTCTTGATTCTTGTTGTCTGGGAGTAAACTCGGATCCTTTTCCCATGGATACGGAATCATCCATTGCTTTCCATTTTTTTCCGCAGAATTCTCGATCATGATTTTCTATTCTCCCTCGACTTGAGTTAGCTTGTCGGCTTCGCATACACAGGACTTAATTTCGATTAAACTCGATTTGCATCACAGGTTGTGCCTCCAGGAGTCGACCCAAACAATATCCATCCTAACGGTGACTTTCTGGCTACTAGGTGGTCCACTTTCTTTAATTGTCTGTCCAGTGTGGAGGTGGGCGTGATCAATTCCTATCAGGAGATCAACTGGTCCTTTTCCACGTCTGATCTTCTCGTTAGTCAGTCCAAGATGCTCGGTAATACCTGCAGCATTGACGCTTACAATCTCTTCACGTATGTGTGGAATTCCTATTGCTTTCACAGAATGCTTTCTTGGGTTTTCTATGGCACTGATCGGAACTCGGTAAACCTTTGTTTTCAATTCTTCTTCTTGTCCGCCGACTTTAGTAATTGTCAGCTGAAATACCCTTTCATTTAAGTCCCAAACAGTCAGCTGTATCTTGACGGATCAAGCTAATTTGTGCTCCAGAATCGAAAAGCACGTTACCACGTTTCCGGACACTGTTCTGACCAAATATGTTGGCAGGAACAAACATTACTCCGGTGTAGTAGGGGATGATGGAAGGAGGTATATTGCGTTCCATGCAAGTCTAATTTCGTGCACTGCCTTTTTCTTTTACAGTTGGCTTGCTTGTGTTCTCTTTCGGCTTTTTTCAGACAGCTAAAACAGACATAGTTGGCTCTGGCAACATTCATCCGCTCATCAGTACCCATAACAGCCAATTTCGGCCATTGATCTGGCCAGTGGGTTGAATTATGGCATAACCAACACTTATGCCAATGCTTACCTTCACCACCAAATTCGCCAGTTACTGATTAATACCCCGACAGTTTGTCTGCCCAGTTCTCACTGGGGCCGTTGCTCTCATTCGCGATTTCATCTCTACGGTCATCCAACTCATCGGACCATACAGCGTTGCTGATTTCTTTTCTCTTTCGAGACCTCTCGACCACACCTTTCTATCGCTTGGAAACATTTTCCTCTCAATAATGGACAGCATATGACTGTTGTCCATGTCATTTGGAACACCAACTTCTTTCAAGGTATTGTAGCATCGCTTTACAAGGTGTACAAGATCACAGAAGTGTGCGTCTTCTTCCCCTTGCAGAGCCCTGAACTGTACGATGTCCTGCGTGATTGTGTCTGAAACAAATCTTACATCACCGTATATGGAGTCCAAATACTCCCACGCTGCGTTATAATCGGACCCAATACCGTTAATGAGCTCTAGGGGCTTTTCTTTTAAACAAGTTCGCAGTAAAGTTATTAGTTATCGAGTCTCGTTTGCTATATCTGGTCTCGATAACGTGTTTAAAATCCGCTTTGAAAATAGCATATTCTCGTACATTTCCGGAAAACTTAGGCAACTTCGGTTTTTCCATTTGAAACCCGCATGATTTCGCGTTATAAATAGTTCCTGATTCGGCGTCTGCCAGTTCTTCACTCTGATTCGCAATCACACTATTTAAAGCTTGGTTATTTGCTGGCTCTATAATTTGACTGGGAATTACACTGTTCTGTATACTGTCAATAGATTATCACTTGCGCTTTCCGCAGAGCTGCCAACAATAGTCGCATTTTGATTTGCATTTTGATTCATATTACTTAACTCTGTCTCTGATCCGCCATTTCCGCTCTGCATTCCGATCATTCCTGAAGCCTGTAACACCTCTGACTCTTTCTCGACTGCCTGAATAAACCTTTTAATTCTACATTTTCCATATAACTTTTTGCGGCTACATCTACTTTCAAAAAGAAATTTTGACCATCGTCCAGCCATGACTCTTCCTCCGCAAACTCATCATCGTTCTCTATTAAGCTGGTGAATTCTTCGTGCTTTACTACTAGGCTATCAAAGGAATTATTAAATTTCGATAAGGCATCTCTTACCTCGTTCGTTGGTCGTTCACGCGAAATTAAATGTTCTAACGCTTTATCACATCGAGTAAGTCCTGCCTTAGCCGTGCGTCGGTTGATTTTTGCCTTTTACTCAGCGACCTCGGTTCATTGTTGTTTATCGTTTACGAGCCAACATGAAAGCACGACACATCAGCAATTTGCTGCTATTTTTATATCGTGTTTAAATAAATGTTTTTGAATTGAATTGAATTGAATTGAATTGAATTGAATTGAAAGCCAGAAATCGAATGCTAGTACATGGTTCGCGGGGTCGACTGATAAAACACACCAGAGACTGAATATTGGTATCGTATTATAATTATGAAATAATCAAACAATGCGATCTAAATTAAACAAAGAATATATGATGTAACTAATGTCTTAAATGAGAATAATATCTGGCTTGTCTTGGGAATATATTACATTAATCAGCATATACTGCGTACGTAAATATTACATACTTCTGTGGCAATATCCAGTCACTATACAATTAACATAACTCAGGTTAGCAGTTCTTAATGTCCTCAATCTACTCTTCAAAACAGGTTAGCAATCAGTATTTCAATACAAACAGTTAAACAGACTCGATCTACAGATCTCTCACATTTTGCGTCCTTCTAACGTGCGTACGTTCTCAAAAAACAAAACTATTATATTTCTTAAATGTCAAGCAAATTAAGTAATCTCAAAACGTTTCTATTAATGTTTAACTAAAACATACGTATATCCGTTCTCTTTTTACCACCCTAACCTAACTATAGCACGAATTAAATGTCGAGTTTTCTATTTCACTATTAAAAGCAACATTGTCCTATGTAACATGTGTGTCTTATACCCTTGACAATGCCAATGGAGCTTGTATCTTATGCATGCATGAATAACACTCAGTTTGTGATGACAAGAACCGGATACCTATTCATAGTTGTATTGAATGTTTTTAAATATATTTTTAGGATGAACGGATGGAGGGAATGAATCTCAATGTCTGGTATAGAATGGTAATAGTTTTAAATTTGATACCATGAGTTTGTCAGTGCGCCAGTAAACGAAGTGGTGTATCAGTACTCGTTAATGTTCAACGCGTGCTACGTACAGAAAATCTCATCTGGCTTAAACGAAATAATAAATAGTTAATTTAGTTTACTATATTTTCCACTTCCAGTCCTCCGAGCAATTTCCTTAGGCCACAGTCCGGTGACGTGATAACCTGCGATCAGGCTCTGTAAAACTTTAAAGATGCTGTCAAGTCCGTTCTGCGCATCGGTTCTGCTCATAACAAAGGGGGACCCACAGATGTAAACATTGCCCAAATTTCGCATCTTTTCAACTTTTTCTGAATTGAAACTCTGGTTTATATTCATTTACGAGCATACTAAACCAGAACAGTGTTATATATTCAGTTAGTATATCATATTTTACAAATATAGCAGTTCGAAATGTAAACAAAGCGTTTGTTTACATTACGGACTTGACAGCACCTTTAATAATGATGCGGCAGGTGGGTAGTAAATGAGATACCCTTGAAAGATGCCGCAACTGCATGTTGATACGTTTTATTTCCAAAACATCAATTGTCATTTTTATACTATTTTGTTCAGGCGTGGAATGATTACCGATTATCATGGGATCCACAGCAGCATGGAAACATCACAAATTTTAAGGTGGACTCGGATCATTTATGGATACCAGATATCATGCTTACTAAACCGTAAGTCTTGATACACTTATACCACAAGCAAGGGCATCAATCCTGGGGTGACGGGGCGGACGCGCCCCTCACTTTTTGGACTTTCGTAATGCCCCTCACAACCTCGTACCCAGGGCTAGCCGCGAATTGGACATTCGTAATGTAATCTATAATAGATTACGTCCATTGGTCGACTTCGTCCCCCCAATTTTTGGAATGGATTGTCGCTTTTGACCACAATAAATGCAACAAGCACAAATATAAATAGCTTAAACTATAGACATTAAATACTTTAGGAATTAATTTTGTAAGGGATTGGTATTTCTTGGATGAAGGCGGATACTAATTCATTGAATAGTGAAAAACATTTACTCCGATAAACTTCAAATAGTCGATGCAGACATAATACGCCGATCTCTTTTCACCTTCTGCACACTTTTAGTCCGAGTAAAAATGATAGGAAATCAATTAAATATACATCAATAAACCTGAATAATATGAATAAAATTTGAGTGAAAAAAATCCAGGCCAGAATATAAATTTATGGTTATCAAGATAACGGTAAAGAAAATTGAATACCAAAACACAATGAATAATTCAAAAAATAAGAAGAATAAATAATTTGGAAATGTTCAAATTAAAATAGGAATGAATGAATTACAAACTCTCCTCATTTCTTTAAATGTTACTTCGAAATGAAGATGTAAAAAAGTTCTTGCAAAGTTTCTCAAAGACAATAGAATACTTATTTTCTTTTCATAGGTTATCATCAGAAGCAGGGCAAATTTTAGGAGTGAAAAAAAGCGATGATGATCTTGCATGGAAGATTAGTGTTTCATCAGATGGCACAGCAGCATTTAACTTTCCAGGATCAATCTACGGGCAGTGTTCCTTAACTATATCTGATTATCCTTATGATGAACACAGATGTTCCTTTGTATTTGCTTCCTGGGTGCACGATGGTTCTGAGTTAATATTAAAACTTCGACCCAGCAACCCATTGGATTTGGGTAATTATGTATTTAATAACGAATGGCATATTGTTGGCTCAGAAGCCAAGGCAATTGAAGAACGTTATAAATGTTGTCCAGCGCCATTTTACATGACAAGTTTTAATATTCATGTCAGACGTGGCGCGTCTTCTTATGTCTCGAATTATATCATCCCTTCAATACTGATTGCCATTTTGTCCATTATGATGTTTACGTTGCCACCAGAAGTTGGAAAGCGTATGGGTGAGTATAGTTCTCATTTTTCATTTATATCAAAGCTAATATGTGTCAAACATTCCTCGTTTGTGTTCCTAATCCATTTGCTATTTACCAAAATACATTCGGCACAATTCCACTAGCACTTGTGTGTCGTGATCACCACACTTGCCTTTCAAGCTGGGAGATCCGGGTTCAATACTTGGCGGGACGTCTACTCAAGGTCTTAATATAATTGAGAAAGTGCTACCTTTACATTGTCATCAGTAGATAGTTAGACTTTCACGTCTTCTTGCGTTAAAACGCGGCGTTAAAATCGTAGGTGCCTCGGATCCCCTGTCAGTTGAGCAATAACCTATTCGGAAATCCGCCAACATTGTTTTGTTTCCCGGGCTTGCTTGCCAAAAGTCAGGAAACATTCATTGTTTCCTAGGAAACATTGTTTTCTAGCCATGCTTTTCGAAGGTGGAGAGTCGGGGAACATTGTTTCTTAGTCTTGGCGTTCCCGAAACTGAACCATCTCATGCAGGAATCAAATGTTTCCGAATTCTGCTTTTTGATTTCTGTAGCGAAGCAAACTAGCTTATTTCCCTAATAAGGTGGCCGAACGTGGAAACACTGGAGGAAAGTTTTAATTGTATGAAATAAAAGAATATTTTAGACACCCGTCAATCGTCCCTCTATTAACAATTCTATTGATTTCCACCCGTTGGTGAAAAATATTGACACAGAGCAGAATTAATGGTCATTATTGAATTTTAAATTTACGAGTATAACTTCAATCGTATAATAACGGACACTGGAAGGTGTCAATTTGCCAAGCCAATTAGGTAAGGTTGGTTAAACGTTATTAGGGGGATCAGATTAAAACGTTTCAAATGCTTTAACAAACATGGTGGGCATTGTTGCAAGTGACTGTTCCTCCTAAGACGCGAGCGCTCTCTATAATGTTCTCTCCAATGGCATTTTACGATTTCCGATCCTGAATATTTAATTTTCTATCGTGCTTGGAAAATGTTTACTATCTCTTTGTTTGTTTTTTACAGAAATTGGTATTAACTTATTGCTATGCCTGTCTGTATATCTGACTATACTGAACACCAAAATGCCAACAAGATCTGATGCATTCCCACTGTTGTCAAAGTTCTATGGTTGCTGTATATTCATCTTGACATGTGCTCTGTTATGTACTTGTTGGGTGGTCGCATACTACTTTCACGATATGTCAGGATGGGAAATCAATACTATGTCAAAATTTGTTGAAGTAAGTGAGGCTGTAGAAGTTCAGATCATTGATAATTTTTTTCATTTTTAAACATTTTCTCGAAACGTGTGATACAACAATTTCTTCTCGTGTGCTGATTGATTTTGTTTTTTAAGGTTGGTGTTTTGAAGTACTTGAGACGAGCGTTACGGTTTCCAAATGCAACGAAAGTTTACCCATCGGACATTTTGGAATCTGGTAAGCCAACGTTTTTACCATTAAAAAATCAAAGAGAGCATTCTCTTATGCATGTAATTTTCACAGGACACGGTATTCAATTAATTAACTATATGGAGATAAAAATTGAAATTGGTAAACATGTGCAATTGATAAGTATAGGTAATAGCATGGTTTCGAGTGCAATTTGGATATAACATGCACTCGTGAGTTTTTCAAAGACCTCAAAATATGAGTTTATGAGTTTATCCAAATTTCACGAGAAACCATGCTATTACTTATTAATAATTTACATAAAAATGTTCGAGACAATTGTAGTTTTAACGTACGCGTTTATAGCGAACATTCCACCGGAAAAGTTTTCCTGGCTTTGTTATATCACATTATACAACGCTAACATTTTGAAAATTCCACTCAACTATGTAATTTTTGTTAGTCTTGTTTAAGGTAAATGCTTTTCCATTTAAAAATAAAGATTAAAGCCATATTTTCCACGCAAAGGCAACTTTTACTTTATGTAGCGCGGCGCCATTTTTGTTTTGTTTTGAAGCAATCTGTGACCGTTACTTCTTTAAACTAAATTGCTTTAAACTGATTGGTTGATTTAATCATCACAATGTTTTTCCACCATTCAGATCAGTTTGTTACAGATTTTTGCACTGTGATTACAGAAAATTGCACTGTGATTACAAAAAAATGCACTGTGATTACAGAAAATTGCACTGCTGTTTGGGATTAACTGCACTGAAATCAACCAATCACAGTCGAGTAATATCTTTATGTATATTATTATCATTCTAACACTTTTTCTAACATACTTGGTTGTAATGGTATGGTGGTCAGCGCATTTGCTGTTGTCTCTTTGAGCTTCTGTGACCGCGGCTCGTTCTCAAAAGCACGCATGACTTGTGTGTTATTGCTCCAATGAAAAGATAAGTAAAGAGTATTTAATTAAATGCTCACTTTATTCTTTGGAACTGCACATTAAAACCACGATGGGGGTTTTGTTTCGGGCATATTTTTTCAAATAGCATTCTCAAAGCGCAATCGGCTAACCCCAATGATATTTGGTATGTATGTAATATTTTTGTCGTTTTAAGAAGAAATGCAATAATGTTGTACTAAAAAATCTCATGTTGATCGATCAACTTTTTCATTGTCAGAGTTTTTGGATATGATGGCATTATGATGTCATCAAACAAGGGAAGAGTAATATAAAATTCATGTAACAACATCATATCCCGAAACTTTGACAATGAAAAGGTTGATCAAAATGATCTTTAACGCTAAAGATATATTACTTTAATTCTTGCCTTCTTAGAATGATCAAATATTACACATACAAAAACTTATTAGGAGTTATTAGTTATAGTCACACTTTAACTTTTTCCCAATACATACGTAGTTCTCATTGATTGTCGTGCATCTAAACAAAGTCATATGATATTTTTTACCTGGTAAAATTTTAACCTTTTTTAGTGAATACTCAGCGAATGATTGAAGTCAAACCATTGATGACGGAAAAAACAAACTTCGCAGGTAATTCTCCAGCTTACAGCCCTGATGATGGAACTAAGCCAGCGAAAGAAGCCGTGAAGAGAGTTACGAAAGAAAACGAAAGCAAGATACCGGTTGAGAAACTATCAAGTAACGTGCAGAAAAAGCAAAAAACTGGCAGGAAAGAGTTAACAAATCAAAACGAAGATTCCTTACCTCAAAATAAGAAACGAGAGAAAACTTTAACCGAAACGAAAGACATTGATGGACATGTTGAAAGACAGAATGGCGGTGATCAGGGAAAGACAGATGACAAAGAAAAGAAGATAGCAAAGAAAAAAATGAGGGAAAACTTAGATAATACCAAACCAAAAGAAGATCAAGCTCCTGAAAAGGAAACCAAAGATTCAAAGAAGATGGCGAAAAAAGAAGGCAAGAAAGATGTACGGAGAAAACGAGACAAGAGCGAAGGGGGTGACGGAGGAAAAGTAGAAAAGAAACCGAAAGCTTCAAAGGAAGATAAACGTGACGAGGCTCGTAAAGGAAGTGATACAACTATCAGCAAAGAAAGCGATAAAAGTACTGGCAAAGAAAGCGATAAAAGTACTCGCAAAGAAAGCGATAAAAGTACTCGCAAAGAAGGTAATAATACAACTACTGACAAAGAAAGTGATAAAAGTACTCGCAAAGAAAGTAATAAAAGTACTCGCAAAGAAAGTGATACAACTACTGGCAAAGAAAGCGATAAAAATACTCGCAGCGAAAGAGATAAAAGTACTCGCAGAGAAGATGATACAACTACTAGCAAAGAAAGTGATACAAATACGCGCAGAGAAAGTGATACAAATACTACCAAAGAAAGTGATAAAAGTACTCGCAGAGAAAATGATACAACTACCAGCAAAGAAAGTGATACAAATACGCGCAGAGAAAGTGATACAAGTACTACCAAGGAAAGTGATAAAAGTTCTCGCAGAGAAAATGATACAACAACTGGCAAAGAAAGTGATACAAATATGCGCAGAGAAAGTGATATAACTGTGAACATTCGAAGCTCCAGAAGTGCGTCGCGTGAGAGCAATACCAGTCAAAAATCCAAGAAATCTAACAATGTTTTTGGAGCAACAGTCGCTCCTGGTTTGGTAGAGAAACCCAGAAAGGAACGACGTCGAACGAAACCTAAGAAGGAAGACTTAGGTGTTGTTAATTTGGGAGCGGACAACGAGGAGAAAAGTAAGAAGATTGGAATCAAAAATGGAAAGGACGGTAGTGAGGAAGCCACGAAAGTGAGTAACGTAAGAGAATCACCATCATTGAAGGATAAGACAGGTAATTTTTGTTGTACTCTTTGTTGTCTACTCAATTCTTTGTTTGCAATCACATGACGTTTCATTCAAATGACGGGCAATCAAACAACTTGTGGACGTTTTTCTCCTATCAGAATGGCTGTAGCAAGAAAAACTGAGCGATAATTCATCTTTTGAGTCTTAAACTGTCTCAATACATTAATATAGCCATTTTTTGTTATACCTGCCCTTCAACTGAAATTTCAAAATTACGTCATTGCAAACAAAGAATTAAAAATCTAAATTCATTGCCTGTTCTTGTATTCCGTCGTTTTCTGTCGCTAGTCGTATCCAACAAGCTGAAGTTGGACATGACAAAGGACAGACAAGGCTAGGACTTCATTGGTGCAAACGTCAGAGCGCCTGATCGATAAAGGGTTGAGGAAGGTTTGAATTGTCTAATACAATGTGTAAGGTAATCGAACTTCAGCCCGCTATTGTACGTGAATTACTCGGCGTATGAACAACATTTTTTCATATTCGAAAAGATCAGGCTTTCAGTTATTGAATGACATGTTTTTCATGCCAAGTGGAGAAAAAATAAGCAAGTACGAGTCCGATAAAAAATGTTAGTCAGAATCGCATATTTTCACCTCTGTGCCTAATTAAAGCAGTGCATAACAAAAGAAAAAGTAATTAATCACGAACTTGTCATAGCTTAGCTAAGATTTATTCCTACTTGATAATAATTATGAATATGTGCGTTAGTTTATTTAAGTCCAAAAGGGGGTAATTTTGAATGGTAATTTTTTCAACGGTGAAAATATGCGATTATGCCTAACATTTTTTATCGGATTTGTATTTGCTCATTTGTTATCCACTTGACATAAAGAACATATCATTCAACAGCAAAGAGCATGATCTTTGCGAATATAGAAAAATCTCAGTCATACGCAGAGTAATTCAGATACAATGGCGCGCTGAAGTTCGATTACCTTTTTCTGAAACACACTGTAAAAAAGAAAAAGATATAAAAGGAAACACAATCTGAAGATTATAGCATCTTGAATCCCAAGATATGAATAAAAAGAATGAGGACGAGAATGAGTTCGTAATATTTCAGTGATCTTACATTGACGCGACATTGAAGTTGATAAAATTTATCAAGAAAATTAATGTTTGCTTCTTATTTTTCAGGAGAAATTGGAGGCGATGAGAAACCAAGTGAAAAAGTATCAGCACTAGCAAAAATGCCTTCAATAATTGGCCAGGCAACTGCCGCGCCAGACGCAAAGCAGAGTTTTGATCCGAATCAAGAACGCAAGAAGAAACACGACAGTGTCAAACTTTTGAAAGAACTGTCAAAATATTTCTCTGATCATTTGGAGAGGAAAAAAAATCGTTACCAATGGCGACAGGCAGCTATTGTTTTAAACAGACTGTTTCTTATCATTTTGTGCATCAGTATTGCAATGTCGATCATTTTAGTATTCCTGGCACGTTAACATGGAAACTGCATGAATATATACTAATTTCAGTCCTCGGAGCTAGGGCTATCATTGGAAGGCTCATATAGTCATATATATGCCAATTATCTGGTAATCGTATAGTATACATCACTTTATGAATATATCTTTTCACCACAGAATACAGTAAAACCCGAATAAAAGAACCGGCGGATTAAGATGCACCAGCCTGGAATTTAGGCAAAAAAGCACCCAACATAAAAGAACCACTTTAGGTTGACAAATGAGACTGGATCTGGAAATGTTTGTACTCGATCTGATTCGAGTGCAATTTTCTTCTACTAATACATGATTATGTGAACGAGTAGATGTAGGATCTGAACATTTATAAATCATCTATTTGTTTACCTCTATCAGGAGAAGAAAATCGCACCAAAAATCGCCGGCAAAAAGATTGGAAGTTTACACGGACCTTATACAAGAATACTTTATACGGACATCAAAAATAGTAGTTCTTTTATGCGAGTTTTTGCTGTAAGCTTAAATAAAAGGTTGCATTATAAATGAAATTATTATTGCCTCATTTAAATGCTCGCGGTGAAAAATGCGAAGTAACTTGCACATACAATAATTTCGTTTTCATGGTAGATCTGGTTTCTTGGTGAGATCATTCAGTTTTCTTGATATGCATTCTAAATTAATCTACGTCACACATGAGTAACGAGTTGTAAATATCAGAAATGAATCATGTCTGCACTTTGTCGTACGTGCTCCTATAAATCCACCATTTTGTGGAGACAATCTTTTAACTGAGAAGAGATAAAAGTGTATGCATTCTATTATATCAACGCACTCTTCTATACCACTTAAAGTTGAAAATGCACTCATGCATGCAACGTGTGTTTTGCCATAAACGAAACGCATGTATACCTACAACTTTTTTTTCAAATGGTTTCGTTGGATAAAAACAGACTCATGAGCCACTCATGAAACGTGTGATGTAATTTTTTGAAGAGCGTCAAGAAAACTGAATGAAATCACTTTACATTTAGGATCATTCTTTTGCATATAGGCCAATAAAAATCCCCGCCCCTTTTTAATTATGATATTCAACATCTTGTTTTTCTAACTTTCTGTAACTAACATGTTTTATGCATGCAAAAATGTATATAACCTGCAAATTAAATACCTCAGGACCAAATATCAGCGCCTTTACCAAACATGGAGAAGGATATCTAGTTTTAGTTTTCGAAGTTGTGATTTGTTTGGGTCACGGCTAAAGAGCTTCGACTATTTGTCCGTGAATTAATTTGATTGGTTCATTTAAATGGCAAGCGGCTGTTTTCACACAATAGAGAGTTTTAGATTGACGTTCGTCATTATTACGGCAAACCGGAAACCGGTAGTCGACGTACCCGTTACAAGTTTGCTGTTCGTATTTTCAAAACGATTTAGATTTAAGTTTTAACTTCCAAAATGTGAGCTTAATCGGTGGGCGATAGCATCCCAATCCATTGGCTTTTGTGGTCGGCAGCTTGCAACCCCCCAAGCCAATGCAAGATCATGTTGTATGCTTGGCCAACGAACGGGTTTCGTGGTCATGATATTTTTCCAAGTTCTGTATTAGACACAAACAGATTTTATATAAAATTCGCAACAAAATTAGCCTAAGAGTATATATAGTAAAACTTTAAATCTCAAAATTATGAGAAAAACAAATAACAACAAAAACAATGTAAATCAGCTATGTATTTGGGCTATGCTTTATTGCCCGCCAGTTTGTTTATTGACAACGACTGAATTCGATGCAATATTTCAGTCGAAGATAGTAGTTTCATATCCTTATTTTATGCAAGAAAGAAATTCATAATGATAATAAACATAAGTGCCATGTTTATACGCGAGAAAAAGAAAGAAAAAAGCATTGAGGGAAACTACCTACCTGAAAACAGCCTCCCTCGCGTAAAAACGTCTACCTCGAATGTGTAACCTGACGGCAAGATGGCTGTCACGTGATTTTTAGCCGTTTGCGGTTAGCGGGAAATACGAAAATACGTCAATCTAAAACTCTCTAATTAAAACTGGAACTTAACCTCTAACCCGAAATGATTGTGGATTTCCTTCAACCGGATTCGATACTTTCACCACTGAAAGCTCAACATTGAAAGGCATTTTTAAAGCCAACAGATATGTCTAGTAAAATTGTTACATCCAAAGCATTGTTCTTCTTCACGTTCGTACTTCTCACTACTCGTCCGTCTTACCGGCAATCACGGCTCACGACTATAGGTATGTAAATCACAAAAATGCGTCATTTCATGCACATTTCACGAGAACAACTATTGGCAATTCACGGCTCACAGAAATACCCTTTACCATGCACCCTCAAGGAGAATGCCGAAACCAAAAATGCTAATTTTCGAATATATACTAAAAAGTCAATATTTGAATCTACACCGATTAATAATGGTCAACACTGGAATGTATTCCGAAAAAAGTACACAATCATGATATTGCAGTGCATGTGTATACTGATTGAAACATGCACAGTCAATATTTGAAAAGTGGACATGTCAGTCGGGGTATTTGGGGTTTCTGGTTTGGATCAGAATAAACAACTAAGAAAAATTTTTTGAAGGTATATTATTCATATTAGTTAGGCTGTCTTCTTCGTAAAAAGACTATTGCCATAATTACATATAACAAATCCATGGCAAAAATATTAAGTTTACAATAGGTTATTACGTATTCATATTATATACATATTCAGATTAGATTAAATATTTATACAAACTTAGTATATTATATACAAACAATTAAGTTAAGTAACTTGGTCACCACAATATTATTAGTACAGCAATAGCCGAATTCATATTAGAGATGGGAAACTCGTCTTGGACTGGAAACTCTTCTATGGAAAGGAAATCCGTTTCAAATTTTATGTAGGTTTTAAACATAATTTGTCTATCTCAAAAATTCTAGTACGTTCCAGTTCATAAGTTCCCTTGCTTGGCAACGCTTTCTCCCGCGTCTCTTTTATCCGTCTGAATGCGAAATTAAAACAAGTTTCTCGTTTAGACTCGATTCCCGACTAATTTTCCCGTCTATTTGGACGGAAAAGTTGAGAAGGAAAACTCGCCAGTTGCCGGATTTATATCAGACGAGTTTCCCATCTCTAATGTGAATTATGCTATAATTATCTGCAGCAATTCACAATTTTGAACTTAACTAACAATTTCTACGAAATATTTTTTGGGTTCATAATTTATCAGTTCATAAAACCATAACATTATTCTTTAAATTATTAAAGTTTGGCACACTCCTTGCAGTCCCGCTTGTGTTTACCGCTCTCTCCTCCGCAGAGCCTCCTTAAGTATTTACAAATAACTTACATGAAGTTTCCTGAATAAAAGTGAGCACGCACGGTGCGATAGGAAGATTGAAATGAAGTTGGGGAGGCTCTGCCAGATAATGCGACGAAGTATGGTTTTTGAACCAAACTAGTTGTTTGACCTTTTTCTAAACTTGAATTCGACGGAAATGTGAAAGAAATTGAAATGAATCTTCATAATCTGAGTATCGAAGTTCAATAGAGTCATTTTTATAAAGAAATGTTGCAATTAAGAGGATATTTATCATTAGATAGCTCGTACCATTGATATTCGTTTGCAATTTCTCAATATTTTTCATGCAAATGGACAGAAGAAGATATTGAATTCACCCCAGGATACTCAAGTACGCCTGAAAATGAAAGTTGAAAACATGTTTTAACACTCCCGATGGTTGATCGAACTTCGCTACAAACGATTATATACGACGCCATATTGATTGCATTAACTCGCAGAGGCTTCCTTTATTTAGCTCTTCCCATCACTCCTTGCGCGCTCACTTTTCCCACATTAGAAATTTCATGTAAGCCTCTGCGGAGGAGAGAGTGTTTCGCGCGGACAAAAACAATAGAAAGAGGCTGGACGTCAATTTCTGCCATTTTTGTGGAAAAACACCAATCGCCATGGAATATTATTTACATTTTTTAATTAGCTTTCAATCCGTAAGCCCGGATCTTCCTCCGTGCAAATATAATTAATATATTGATTGTTGATTAATTTTTCATTTTATTTGCACTAATTAAGACTTGGGATCGAATTAACGATAAAGTGATAAATTTCACTGATTTATATCACGTACACCTGCTGAAAAATCACAAGAAATCACAAAAAGAATAACATACCACAAACAAATCTCATTATTTTGTTCACTTTTTAGGAGTGGTTTGCCCAACCTCGTACCCAGGGTCTTTCCTCTTGACCAGGGGAGAAAAGACCCTGGTAGACGCTGGTCACGTGATCTGCTAAAATCTAGCTGAGGTATTCAATAAATATTTGATATTTGGATAATTTTTAGTTTAATTTTTAATTTGCTTTTTGTACGATTGTCGTAAAGGAATCCAAGATAGTTAATTAGAAATCTGCTAGATTTTAGCAGATCACGTGACCAGTGTCTACCAGGGTCTTTTCTCCACAAGAGGAAATACTCTGTGTACGAGGTTGTGATTTGCCCTCAAAATTGCATAACCCTATTTTTGCAATATTGAACTCATTCTTGAGAATTGATTTCAGTCTTCTACCGTAGCCTTGCGAACGTATTTCTAAACGATCTAACCACTTCATATTACTTATCTGGCAGCTATTGTATACATATTGTGCAGTCTTTACGTAGACTGGATGGGAGACTTTCATTATTTTGTTACTGTTCCTTTCTCTGAATATGCTGGATTATTTGGTTAAAATTGTTTGTTATAGATTTCTCCAATTCTGTCAATCTACCTTCAATGTTACTCAAACGATCTGCAATATTTTCACTTCTCTCTTCTTTTCCAACATCATCATTGCCATCCTTTCCATCAAGTGATGTTTTATTTTGTCGTTTCTCCATCTTTCTGCTACTTTTCCCTGGTTCATAATTCCTCGTAAATGAAGTTTCCTGTATTTCAATGGACGTTGCACCGTTGGATTGAGGCTTGATGTTGCTTGAGGAGGAAAATTTATGAAATGACGAAAGTTCATGTCGAGCGTTTGAAAAGCGATGCTCTCGCGCAGCCAATCCTTCGCTGACCTATAACAACAACAAATATAAAAATTATCAAGTATAATGATTCTTGAAAGGTTTTTGAAAGTTTTTCGACAAATTGAAGAGTTTCATATTATGCTAAACTACCAACTATATTTTCTAAACCGCTTTATCTCTATTTGGTCCGAAGTCCTGTTTCTCAGACGCCCAAATATAGTCCATCTCTTGTTCGCCATTGTTATTACAAGAGAAAACCTCCTGGACTACCCGGAGGAAGCCTCAAACCTGTAATGTTAAGTAGAGTCACAATGAAAGTATGCAGGGTGCCTACTAGTCTCTGAAATCCTTATATATTCGAAAAATCTTTATATTGTATCTTTATATTGTATGTATGGCGTTTACAATCGCAATTTATGAACATCTGATTGCTCTCAAATGTTTTTTGAAAAGTCTTTGAAATAGGCAGACAAATTTTTTGAAAATCTTTGAATTTTTTGGTCTTTGAAACTACTAACCCTGATGTGGCTGAAGGGGAATCGGTTATGGGAAAGCCTATTCTGCACTCTGTTGATGTAGTGACGTCACCCCAAAGATTCGTCGAAAAAGTTAGGGTCAGGGTTAGGGTTAAGTTCAAAAGCGCTAGCTCGGTGTAACGTCACAACATAAGCCAATTCAGAGTCTTGACTGCTCATCCAAACGTGTCATTCTGCGTCGGGATAAATTGACTCAGAGGTTGAATCATAACACGCAATGAGAATATGCATGTCAAAGTATTGAACTGTTCAATACATTATTTGTTTCACTTATAGCCGGAATATAACTGTCACTAAACAATTTCTATACTGTCCATTTGTTTGTCTTCTGTGTAAAGCAAACTAAAGATAGGTGCACATAAGGATTATATTTTCTAATTTAAAGCGAGTCAACCGTGCGGAAACTAGTTGTTCTTTGAGCAACTTTTTGCATATTCGAATGATGATTCAACAGTGGAATACTTTCAAATGCATATTCTAATTTTTCCAGTCTCAGTTACATGTTATGGCCAAGCCCGTAGTTTGCTCTCAATTTCTGGGGGGCACTCACTGCAGAAAGAATGTAACAGACGGTTTGAGATAAGAAAAATTTTTTTCCGGAATTTATTTTGGCAACCCCCCCCGTCGCCAAAAAAATTTCGGTCAGTGTACCATTTTAGGGGTCAAAAATTTTTTCCGGACAGACCAATTTTTCCGGCCATACAAAATTTTTCCAAAACCTAACAAAATTTTTCGAAACATCACAAAATTTACCACAAAATTTACAGAATTTGTCCCATGATTACAATTGGTTTCCAGGTCCTTTATCTCAATTTTTCATACCAAATTTCGGAGTGGGCTGGCACTGAGGGGCATTGCCCCCCCCCAGCCCCCCCAAGCTACGGGCCTGGTTATGGCTCAACTGCAATTTATCTCGACGCAGAGCGCGTCATTTTGACGAGCAGTAGAGACTCTGAATTAGCCATTCCGAAGTTAATGAGTGGACTGGGGACGAGTGTTAAAAAGCGCCCAAATTAAGAAATGAACCAAATCACTAAAAAGACCACCTCAAAATTAGTAAGTATACAAAGTTTGAAGACGTTCACATGAATACCCTTCGAATAATAAGCTTTCGAAAATTGTGAAATTACTGATTAAAATTAAGACTGTTTTGGGGACGCGCGTCCCAAAAACAAGAAATTACAATACATTTCATAGTAAATATCACGATTTTCGAAAGCTTGTTATTCGAAGGATATTCATGTAAACGTCTTCAAACTTTGTATACTTACTAATTTTGAGGTGGTCTTTTTAGTGATTTGGTTCATTTCTTAATTTGGGCACTTCTTAACACTCGTCCCCAGTCCTCTCATCAACTTCGGAATGGCTAATTGCACATGGCTCTCCCCAATCTCGTTCCCCGAGCCTGCGATCCTCGGGAAGGAACGCGAGGCTCTGGGATAATCCGTTTCAGGGAGGAATCTGATTGGCCATTGAAATGGAATGCGTAGTTCAATCTTAGCCAGGATTCTTGGCTTCCGGTAACGGATTATCCCAGAGCCTTCGATTCCTTCCCGAGGATCGCAGGCTCGAAGAACGAGATTGGGCTCTCCCTACATGCAATCAGTAAATAACATATATTTCTGGAATGGATCCCCAGTTGCAGAGGTAAGAGGCATATGCATGCATTAACTATAGGAACAGCTAGCACTAAAATAAAACCTGATATTTACGTTTTCATATTCTTGTATACTGTAAGACACTTCAAGGCGTTCAAAGAATGTCTCTCCAAATTCAGGGTAAGCCCGAAGACATTCCAATAAATCTTCATAGTCGATTGAATGTATCTCTGCGATTGTGCAAATTATAAGATCTGAATTCGCCTTCGGTATATGATTCAAAGATTTATAATCGCAGCTTATGACGTCTCCCTTGCCTACAGAAACAGTGCAAAAGGAAATGTTTCAGTTTTAATTAACGAAAACAAAATAGTATTATAATGTCTATATATAGTATATATAGTGGGATGATCAAATTTAAATGGATATATTGGCAACGAAATTGAAGTTGACCAGTTTGAAAGAACTCTTCAATTAACTGTAGAATAACTCATTTTGCAAAATATTCATCTCTTTCTTTGTTTAACTTACTTTATTTAATATGCAAATACGATGACCTCACAAACGAGACAAAATTCATATCACATTTCACACGATATTTTCTGTATGAAAATTGGTCAATTGAATCATTAACATATATGTTGGAACTGTTGATTTTATGACTTTGACGAGTTTGTCATAGATTTACTTCATTTACAAATCAAACACTCAAAAACATCTCAAGAACGACAAGAAATGAAGAAAAGTTCTTAAATTATAGCTAATTTACAATTTACGAGTACTTTCTGTCGAAAAACAATTTTGTTCCCATTATCTTTAACGTACAGTAACAATAAAGGAATGAAGGGGCAGTGCTAAATCATCTATTGAATATTCTCTTTTGATTTAATCTGGAACTGTACGATACATTATTTTGAGAACTTTTCTCACACCATATACGACCAGTCCTTGTCTGCCATTTTTTGGTAACATGCTGCACGTGGAAAATAGACGGCAACATGCAAATGGTGGACAAGGCCTAGTAGAATGGCGTGAGAATTTACCAACTAATCCGACCAGACGTTCTCTCTGTGTTCCATCACACAAATAGTCGTAGATCTAGAACCTCTGCCATTGCGATATGCATGCAGCTCAGTGTAGGGTAAAAAAGTATTATGTATCGTGCAGCAACGAACTTAGTAATTCAGCTTACTTAATGTAAGAATGATCTTTCCATCTCTCACAACTTCCACAGTTCCAGAACATATGAAATACATTTCCTGAATTGGATCGCCTTGCCGTACAACACATTGTTCCGGTAAACAATAAGAAGTACGGAATTTCATGGCCAAAGAACGTAAACAAGAATGGTCAGCTTCTTTGAAAGCTGGGACAGTGTTAAATAAATCTTGTCGCAAATGATAACACACGTCCGTTTGAAGAGATTCAGGGAAAAATTCCAGCACCTGAACGAAAGAGAAACATAATAAGCACAGTGGCGTGCGGGGGGAGTTACGTTGCTACCATATGACCTCCCTTGTTGCTGAAATTTTAATTATTTAACCTTTTTGCGTTAAATTCCATGCAATATATAGCTTAATCTATAGATTACCTAGCCGAACATGTTTCATGGTCAAGATGCCACAGCTCTGTTATATTATTATTCGTAGAATCTAAGCTATCAATCAAAGGTTTTCGGAAATTAGTGGTGGAACCCCCCCCCCCCCCCCCCCCAGTGTCCGCCACTAAATAAGCACCAAATCCAAACAATTTAATGTACAAGTCCAAACCATTTCACGTGATATACAATGTAGGCTGTTTACAGTCTACTGGTAAAATAGCGAATATGAAAAAAATATTTCAACTTGCTGTCAAAAGGCAGAAAAAATCCCAAAAGCACAAGTAACACTAACAGACAAATGCTATGGCTGACAGTTGTACTCGTCAATTCCATACAATGTTCGAAGTTCTGAAATCACTTACCTTTTTTACATTAACTCCCTTGGTTTGTGCCCAAATGTTTTTCGTGTAATCCTCCAATTTATCACTCAAAGGTGAGGGTATTTCGTAGAAATTAATGAACTCTCTTACGATGGCCAGATCTTTGTGGTACTTCGAGGTAGTTGAGTAAAGACGTTGTATTATGGCAGTCAGGTTTCCAAAAATCGTTGCAAACATTAAAGCTGATAAATAATGAAATTAAAATTAGCTTTCAGTAATAACTGAGATTTTCAATTGGCAGCCTTGAATCGTGATGCCGATTGTGCTGTAGCGTGGGTAGAAAGCTAGATTAAAAAGCCGCTTTTGCTGTTTAAAGATAACATGCGGGGCGGTAACTTGATTGTCGTGAACTCTTTCGTGTAAACAACAACGGAGTATAGATCAATTTGACGAGTACGGGATTTTCCTCACTTATCACAAAAATCAACTCGTAAGATCGCTGCGAGTGCTTAATTGGATCCAATTAAAATAAACAGCCAAGAATTGTGATGGTTGCATGAAAGCACCCGCAGCTAGCTTGCGACTTGATTTTTGTAATGAATCGGGAAAAGAGGCTTAACACCCGGTATTTTGCTCGTATAAGCCTGCAAATTTAAAATTTCGAACTTTGCTCCCCTGTATCTTTTTATAAATTTTACAATTATAACATTCGAAGACTCAGATAACACTAGGACAACTGTCAGAACCAATCGATTGGTTTATTTTAATTTATATAACTTTTGTCGGTTTCAGTTATTCTTCCGAAATTAAATATATCTTTTTAATAAAGCAAGATTCCAAGAACATTAATATTTTAGCCTCATTATTTGATACATAACAGGACGATACAAAACGCCGATTTTGCTGGGTAGACCACAATGCACTGCGATTTCAAAATGGCGTCACCATTGACAAAATGTCTATTATCAGAAATATACCTTTGTCATGCTGGTCAATAAACAAGATCTTGTTATTATAAGTAACTATATAAACTTACCACCCACCAACATAACACACACAGCAAAAGCCTTCTCAGCATTTGTATTAGCCGCTACGTTACCAAAGCCGACACTGGTTAGACTGCTCAATGTGAAATACATGGCTGAAAGATAACAGTGAGTCAAGGACACATCAAATTCATCTGTTGTATTTGGATTACCAGACGATACCCCACTCTTGCCAGAGAGGTCACGAGATAGTATATTAATCCAGTTGGCAGGATGATCAGCCCTTTGTGCCCTGCCTATGGCGTACCAAATGCATGCAAGCCAATGAGCAGTTAACGTGAATAGTCCCATAAGAAGGAAAACGACAGCTACTCCGTATTCTGAATAACGGTCTAATTTCCTGGCAACACGAACCAGTCGCAAGAGTCGAGCCGTCTTGAGAAGACTTATCAACGTAAACTCCTGAAACAAACAAACATAGGTACAGGATCATTTCTGAAGCTCGTTGTCAATTCATGAGCAAAAACAAATCAAAGTAAATCAGCACCGATACGTTAGGAGATGATACCTGGGAACTAGGTTGGTGGTACTAACCAATGATAATAATAATAATACACTTTATTTTCATTGGGTGACTGGATTTACACAAAGTAATTTTCGTCCAGGCCCAATTTTCATATAAGCTTTCGATAGCATGGACAAAAATAAGGACAATTTAAAGACAAAATAAGTTTGTATATAAATGCTATTTTAGAAATTTGGTTACCTCCTTAGAGCTGACCAATGAAAACAATTCAAATGGAATGGCAGAAAGGAAATCAACAAAAAACCAGGACCTCAAATAATGACGAGCTATTTTCTTTGGATCACAAACCACCTTGGCACTCCGACCTTGTACGTACGTTGTCCGAAAGTTTATGGAGACATCAACAATAAACATAATGTCGACGCTCAGATTAATGATTTCCAGCGCGTTGTTCGTTAAGCGTACTTTCTTATACATAGGTAATATGAACGCAACATTATATGGCACTTCTATTGCAGTATAGATGACGAGTAATAGTACTATCCAATCCCAAATTGCTTTGGTTAAAGAATCATGTCTGACCGTCCAGGGATGAAATGTCGGTTCTGCAGCTTTATAACTTATCGTTGGGCTTAAGGACATAACCTTGAAAATAAAATAAAAATTAGCTAATTATACTTGTATGATTATACATCGTTTCTATCCAATTCACGACTATCGACAATTATAACCGACCTAGTTATTTACGATAATTTGCTCTGACCTACGACGGAGGGCAGAATAGAACAAGGGTATAACTAAGCATTTCAATTACGTCAGTTATACTATGTCAGTTATACGAGTTATTCACTCGCGTACATAATTCCAATGCTTAGTTCCTTTTGTTCCTTCCTATTCTTCCGTATTCGTAAACTGGAACAAATAGTAAAGAAAAATGTGGAATATTTTAGGTTGAGATAGAGTTGGGTCGTATTAGCTAATATTGTCTAGTAAAATTATTCTGTGGAAATTTCTAATGGCAAACCGAATTATTTATTTCCGTTTAATGTTCCTTTAAGCTATGTATACAGTGAACGTATTGGGGAGATTAGGGAGATGTAGAATTCGATATTTCTTGTTTTTGTAACATATAATAGACAGACTAATAACATTATTTATATGGTGTTTATGAAGCCTCCTTTAGAGATGAACTTTTCAACAACTGAACAGTTGTCGTTATCCGAAAGATGGAGACGATGGAAGGAAACTATGCAGTTATATCTTAAACATGTCTAAAGCCAGCGAGAAAGAACAATGTGCGGCGTTCCAGTATGTGATCGGACAAAACGGGCAAGACATTTATAACACAATGAAGTTTACAGAGGCTCAAACGGACAAAATCGACGTGTTATTCGCGAAGTTTGACGAGTATTGTGAACCCAGAAGAAACACGATTATGGAAAGATACAAGTTTAATACGCGAGTGCAAAGAGACGACGAAACAGCCGATCAGTACGTAACTGAACTTAAATTGCTAGCTAAGAATTGCAACTTCGGGTCTCTTGAGGACGAGTTGATTTGGGACCGCGTTGTTTACGGAATAAAATCGGAGCGTGTGAGAGAACGGTTATTACGAGAACGAGAGTTAACGTTAGATAAAGCGCTAGAAGTATGTCAAATAAACGAACAATCTGAGGAACAACTAAAAGTACTAAACGATGTTCAGAGCGTCAAGACCATAGGAAAACATAACAAATCAGGAAATTATCGTAGCAAATTAGATGCAAAAACTGTCTGGAATTACTAAGGTTTTGTCAGCAATGACCACGCATGCTCTGCGAACGGCCGTGACATTATTTGAATGTTACATTTTATGTAACATCCACAAGATATGTTTTCCCCTACAAAATTGACAAAACCGGATTTTCTATCGTTTTTGCATATTTGTATAGTGAACTTTCATAGAAAGGCTACAAAATTTTCAGAACTTTTTTCATTTTCAGATTTGAACATTTGGTCGTTTTTCAGCGTAATGTCGAAAACGCCTTTAAGCGTATATCCTTCTGTAAAAGAGAGCTGGCAAAATTGTAGGAAAGCACCTGAAGTAGTAAAAATGCAAATTTAAACAGATAAGTAGCATTTGCATAGATTTTAGACGAGATTAAAATTATTCCTTTTGTCTCTAATGAATTAAGACATTAATTGGCATCTATATGTAGGAGTGTGACAGAAAAATATGTGACAGAAAAATAAAATAAACATATGAAGTTGAAAGAAAGAAAGAAAGAAAGAAAGAAGGAAGAAAGACTGATCGTGAAGAGAGAACTGAGATGAGAATGTACCGATGGATACAGGAGAACAACTTGTAAACGTTAATGAGAAAGTTAGAAGAAGAACTGAAGCTTTGTCAAGAAAAAAGAATTATGAAGAACAAGATGGTCTGGAGATTTCATAGAGTATATAGACGATAGAAACCTGGCCATGCAAGAGAGCATGTGGCAGATGAGTACTAAAACTGTTTGTACCAATGTGGGTAGTACCAATGTGAAATTGCTGTGCTGAGTGGCTATATTACTACCTGAAATAAACAAGCAGAAACTCGACGTTTCGAGCGAAGGGCCTTCGTCAAGAACTATGAAGTATACTAACTCTTGACGAAGGGCCTTCGCTCGAAACGTCGAGTTTCTGCTTGTTTATTTCAGGTATAGTAATATAAACACTCAGCACAGCAATTTTTGTGGCAGATGAGGGCTGTTCAGTGGCGGACACTCGCGAAATACTGTATATTGGGAGGGGCGAATTTAGGTTGCCACAATACCACCTTTTGGTGCTGAAATTCTCAGTTCTTAAATTCCATGCAGTCCATAGCTAAATACAGCCTACAATGCTTCCATCTTCGAAATATAATTGTCACAGATCTGTTACACAATTATTCATTTGATAGTGTATAAGTAACGACGATAACAAACAAGGGGCAAAAGATAATGGAAAGGTCCGCGTACACTTTGGCGAACGTTAACAGTCTATAAAAATCCCCAAACCATGAATATATATATATGCATGACAATCCTAAAAGCTCATAAATTATATTCTTGAGATCTAAAATTTACGTTTATGTTGAACTAAAATCTAATACTTCATGCAATTTTATCCCGAGTAAATAGACTAAAAATTCATTGACGAAATATTTTGTTATTATCTCTTTGGGAAAATCGGATATAATTGCGTTTTACTATATAGGTTCACCATTGAAAACAATAAAAAATCTTGTTTTACTTCTTATAAAAAGTCAAAAAATGTACAACTACAAAAAGACCAGACTTCTGAAAGTCCAAAAGTCTCGTACACTTTCTATAGCCAGGTCGGTTATTGCCTCTCCATAACAAACAGCTGTGGTGTGAGAGATATATATACAACTACCTGAAATATATATGCAGAACTTGGACAAGGAAAATGAAAGTTTGCTTGTATATTTTTCAAAGAATGAAAAAGCCGGCTAAACCGTCCTTTCTTGGCCTATGTATATCGACTCAATTCCATTATATATTTGGTTTATTTCAGTATTACGTGTCAATATTATACAGCTATTTCAATTAAGGTGATACCCGGACAAAGCGGAAAAGTCGAATACGAGCGCGAAAGGCCGCTGGGAATCGTTAATAAATTCATTCATTTATTAGCGATTCCCAGCAGCCTTTCGCGCTCGTATTCGACTTTTCCGCTTTGCTCGCGGGACAACCTTAATTGATCATGAAATAGCTGTATAGCCATTAGTATGTAACACATCATCATCAATTTAGTACATGCATGCTTCAAGGGTTTCAAGACGACGCTCTCACATGCAGCAACGATTTTTGCGTCAAACTTGCACGAAACAAAACAATATACATTCTAATCTACTAACACACTTCAAAATTCGATGGAAACTGAGATATATAGAAAAAAAACTGAAGGTCATTTGGCGTCTATTTAACCGCAAATGAGTTCCAGCAGCTAAACAGCTGGTAAAAGATGATATAGGCCATCCAGGGTCAACCTCGTCATCCGTTATTCTTGGACGATTTATATTACTCATCAGGATTAGTTTTTTTGCTATTAAAACCCGAAAACTGTCCACGGGTCGTATTATTGTTTACCATAAAGGAGTATACTGCATGTTTATTAACTGTATGCATGAACGGAGAAGGCCTTGTTTATAAAACCAACTCATCAAAAAATCCGCCTATAGTTTCTGCAATTTTTACACATAGACAAAACATCCTTTCTTCTCATAACGACTATATAGCGGTGAGGATAACAGTTATCAAGAAATTGAAAAAGAAAAAAAAATTATTACAATATATTGCAAATATTTGACCTACTAAAAATAGTAGTTCAATGTGAAGGAACAAAATTATAATAACTATGTTTTATGAGTTATTACTCATGGGCAAATGAAGAAAAAGCACAAAGTTCTGTGCTTCTCTCAGAGGAAAAAGCTGATGGATTATTCAAACTTTCAACAATATCTCTCACAATTGCAATTATTTTACGCCATTTGTTTGAAATATTGTATCATCTTTAATTCATGTAGAATGTCAGCTTTGTACAAGACATCACATTATAAAAGTGTTAACAAAAGGAACGGATATATATGCCCTATGTCACTTTCATTTAAACTGATCCCACTAACAGGTACATATGCGTGAAAGTGTAGTAATTGATGTCATGCAGATTTAAAACAAAATTTGACGGGAAATTTTTTTACGGTGAGATACACATATATTGAAATTTTTCTTTATTAAAACTCTCAACAAACCAATGCTCTGCCGATGCTCTGCGGGCGTCCAGCATGAGAAGCTAGCCGAAGCTGCATCGTACTTGGTTGTTCTGTAGTCACGTCTTTAGAAACTTCAGCCATTCCATTCAATATTATTTCTGTCTTGTCTTTAATTAAACAATGCTATGAACACGCACTCACTCGTGTAGCCTCATCGGAGTTTGTTTAACAAATTACTCGGTCGAGATTAACATAACTATTGCCGTTTTGCCCTGCGTGCAGACATTGCAGTAATGCATGTTAATGAATGGTTGGCGCCACCGATAGAAGTCGTTTCATAATTTATTCATTTTTATTGCTATATTTACCATGCAGTGCTATACCCGCTATACCCACTAACGTTAAAGATAAAATCAGTGGTAATAAATAGTAGCAAGCCGATCAGCTGTTGCTATACCGTCGAGGGAACCTTTTGGACTATCCTGCACATATTTTGCATTATAACTTTGTCTTTATGGATGTTTACACTTGCAATTTTTGCTGCGATTTCTATATATAGGGCGATTTCTTCTTCTGATGCGTGTGAACGAGTAGCTGAATGCTCTGAGTATATGTTCCTTCTGAACATTCATAACCCATGCATCTACTCGTTCACATCCACCAGAAGCTATATGTTCCTTCTGAAGTGGCCTTAACATTGAAACAAGCAGATTACGTGATTATGTCACTTATGTGTAGGACAGTTTTTTTTCAAAGAGTTAAAACTGTGAATATTTATATTTCACATCCACCAGAAGCTACTAGAAAATCGCACCTAAAATCACAGCAAATATTGCAAGTGCAATGTGAACTAGTGGCCTTAACATTGAAACAAGCAGATTACGTGATTATGTCACTTATGTGTAGGACAGTTTTTTTTCTATAGACATATGCAAAACGCGCTTAGAATCAAAGAGTTAAAACTGTGAATATTTATATATGTGGTGCTTTCAGAATTGTGAGAATCTTTATCACTCTCCACATGTACGTTTGATCAATGCGACATATTATTCAGTGTCAAGATACTTATCAAAGCTAAAAACATAATTGGTGAAAAATAAAGATTTCTGCATTTTGTAAAAGGCATCTCACTGATTTTCATTTTTGTTCCCCGTCGCCAGACCAACCCCAATTTTACAGTATTTAAGAAATGTAACTTTTTTAACAAACAGCAGGTAAAATAACTAAATGGCCACATATAACTATACATAACGATCGCTCTTTCAAGCAATTATTCAACTAATATTTTGGTGTGCATATACGATAAGCTACAAGAAAATAGTGTGCATGCACTTGCCATACTCTGAAAACTGCACGGGAGGAAATCCCCATATTTCGAACGGTCTGTGCCAGCGTATAGATATAGTGGCAATAACACCAGCAAGTTGCGGATTGAGGGGGATTCATGCGACAACCTGAAATATCGGTACGAGAAAAACCTTAGCCTGCGTGTCAGGCTCTATACCTGAAATGGAGCTGGCTACTGAAGTCAATAATTAAAGGCCGTTGAGGTCGACTCTGCACGGATGAGATCAAATGAAAGTGACAGAACGAATTAGACAAGTTTGCAGTTGTTTTTGCAAACGGGCACCCGTTCGAATTTTGCCATTTGTCGTGCTTCTTTTGCCAAATCAAAACTCAGAAGAACTGAACGCGTGCTCCAGCCCGATTTCCGGTTCTGAAAGGCCCGATTCGCAGGAAAACAGCGCGCGCAAAGCAGGCAGAGTTGTAGACTCGAGTCGTGTGACTTGGACTCGAGTCGGACTCGAGTCGCAATTTTTGTGACTTGTGACTTGACTTGTTAAAGAGACTGCGTATTTTCTGACAAAGCGGGTTTTTTTCGCGATTTCGTGATAACATATTTTGCCGTTTTGCGTGGGAAAACATGACCACATGTGGCGAAAAAGATGACTTGTGACTTGACTTGAATTGACTTGCCACTCGGAATGACTTGTGACTTGACTTGACTTGGATTTAGACAAAATGAGAAATGACTTGTTACCAACGCAAGTTAAACGTAAATATCTAGTGAAAATCAAGTTTTCCAAAATCTTTGTGTTGATATCGATCGATCGTCGTCTTGTACAATTTGGGCAACGACCTTAGTACATATCAATGGCACCGACAGAATTTGTGCCGGCGTATTTTCTGACAAAGCGGGTTTTTTTCGCGATTTCGTGATAACATATTTTGCCGTTTTGCGTGGGAAAACATGACCACATGTGGCGATAAAATGACTTGTGACTTGACTTGAATTGACTTGCCACTCGGAATGACTTGTGACTTGACTTGACTTGGATTTAGACAAAATGACTTGTGACTTGACTTGAACTCAGACCAAATGACTTGTGACTTGACTTGGACTTGCAGGAAATGACTTGTGACTTGACTTGCAACATAGGACTCGTTAACAACTCTGAAATCAGGCTGGTCATTTCCCATTGTTTAACTGCCCCACACTCAAGTAACCACAACGACTAACAGCCCTCACAGATGTTGCTTCTCAAAAAGTGAACAGTGATTTGGATGCACGAAAATAGCAACCAATCAAAACGGCGATGGTCAATTAGATTATCAAAGCTAATTTAAAATACGACTGCGTAAATGACTTGCTTCGAATCAGGAAACCGGCAATATCTCGAAAATAAATGGTCCAATTTTCATTCTACGGCCAAGAATTACATACAAAAGGCTCCTAACCGTTACTGACCGTGTTTATAGACAGTGAAAGCAGGTACTAAGGTGGCGAAAACTGAAAAGTGCAATTACAAGCACGGAATATCATATTACGTGAACCATAACTTGATATTATTTATTTCTGACCGCACGATTAGTACGCATAAATCTACTTTGTATTGACATCAGCAGCAGACTCTATTTCAAGCATCACATGATCACAGGCTGGGAAAACCTTGACTTTTCGAGCGAAGGCTCTTTGTCAGGTCAGGATTAACTTCGCGACGAATTAAGGGCCTACGCTCGAAACGTCAAAGCATTCCTTGTATTTTTCAGGTAGTTGAATCCCTCTTAGCCTGCTCACAGCCCGAAATTTCGTTCAAAGGAAAACCGGAAATTTGGGTCTAATTTCCGCTTCAAAATTTATGGTGGGGCTGCTGAGCAGGCTAAATCCCTCTCAACCGTAGCCTAGCTATAGGCTATCTCAACCGCAGCAATCCTCATATTTGCATATCTTGCAGATCTGTTAAATCAGAATCTCAATAAAGCCTTCGTTTCCTTTCCACGGATGCGAGTCTTCATTTTTTCCCCTGGTTTTATTTTATTCTATTTTTTCCCGATCGACCGACCCACATGCACCTCTAACTAAAATGACCCCTAAAATCAGGATGCCTTAATATGAACTTGGCTTTTGAGCTATAGTGCAGTTATGTATAAATATAAACTAAACAGTATTGTAAAAATAGCTTGTGATCAAAACGTTTTATATCTGCAAACTTCGGCATTTACCATAGGCAGCCCAATGGCTAGGCGTGTAAAATATTTGACTAAAATATTCAAATTTTTACTAAAACTGCTCCTGACTTTTCAAATTTTTACTAAAACTGCGCCTGATGGGCGACGCCACTCACTGCATAATAGACAGATTTAGATCGAGGACGTCAAAGATGACGTGGCGTATCCATACATGGGCACAATAAGCCATTTTCACGTCGTCTTTGACGTTCGCGTCCTCGATCTAAATCTGCCTAATAATTAGATGTGAGTGACGTCGCCCGTAAGCAGGCATCCAAAACTGGAGAACTGCATTTTTATCTAAGTAATTTATTACGAGTTTTTGCCGCCATATTTAACAAGGCAGACACAGCTAGTTTTATTAAAAATTTCAATATTTTAGTTAAATATTTGACATGCCTATATCCGTCGGGCTGCCTATGCTTTTACTGTAGGATGTCAACGTTGCTTGGCTGCATGTGGTTTCTATGAAATATGCAGCCGTTGGCATTAGAAAATATATTTCTTACTAAAAGTAATATTATTTGCATGAATTCTTATATAAATGAGCTATGAGTAAGTGAGCATAGTCAGTATAAGTGGGGACATGTTAATCATGCATCCTTACTTGCAGTGAGAGCGAAACTGAATTGCGAAGGACGCAGTCCAACTTGATGAGTCAATTAAAGTCTTTCTATAAGGACGCCTCTGGCAGGAACCTTTGTGACTCGTGTATATATGATCACGCAACATAACTATGATAAAAGGATCAGTTAGGGGCTACTCCTAACCCACCCTGTCAACATTACCTATGGGAGGAAAGCTGAGTGCCCGCGCAGAAAACCTTGACTGACTCTTTGCACATGAATGTCTTGAGCCCGGAACGGGAATCCAACCGAAGATCTCAGACGTGAAAGATGCTTGCTGTTAACTGTCAATGCCCTCTGTTGCGCTCACACTGGCCCCGGATAGTAAAAATTAAACACAACCAGTGGTTTGGTTTATTTTAACAATATTTTAACCAATGTCTGAACAAATTTCGTGATGAAATTTATTTTTTTCGAATATGAAAATTTTGCAACATCGCGTTTTTGAGAACAACTATAACTACAAGTTTCAAACTAGTGTGAAAGTAATACAGGAATGTCAAATTTCGTAATAATGTACTAATTTTCCTATATGAAAGTAGATATAAGTTTGTCACACCCAAAACGAAGGACAAAGGCTGCTCAGTTTAAGAGACTGGTCGACTTCGCGACCAGGGTAACAACTAACAAACTATGAAGTAGTAAATTATCTCTCGCACGGCCGTGCCAGTGTAAGTTAGTGTACGTATGGAGACGATAACACACATGTATGCATGAAAATATAAGAAAAACTTCTAAGCAAAAAGTAAAGTTCTGCTTATATTTTTTAGCTAGTTGTATATCCTTAATACAGGCAGCTGTCTAGTAAATTAGTTATAGACTAAATTTTGATCTAGGGAAGAAGAACAAAATCCATCACCACAGCTAGAAAGAGCATGTTAAAATTAGTACAAGTGCAAAGTTTGGACGCGAAATGTTGTAAAATGCGGAAATATAGCACTGCGAAATTTGCAAATTTTGTATTAATTTGTATTACGCGCGAGAAAATACACATTTGAAAATGGTGCATTTTCGCGCGCGTAATAGGCAATTCCAGCTTTTAGTTTATGCGCGCAGGGGGTGATGGGAAGTAAGGTATTATATGGCTGATTATGCTGAAAAATTTCAATAAAAACTGCCGAAGCAGCCGAAATATTTCAATATTTACAAGTGTATAAGCTATCACTCCATGTTTACACGGCCGCCATTTTTATTTTTTTCAGCATAATCAGCAATATGATATTTTACTTCCCATCTCCCTCTGCACGCCTAAACTAAAAGCTGGAATTGCCTATACAAATTAAATACAAAATTTGCAAATTTCGTAGGGCTATATTTTCCGCATTTTACAACATTCCGCAACCAAACTTTGCAATTTTACTAATTTTAACATACTCTTTCTAGCTGTGGTGATGGATTTTGTTCTTCTTGCCGAGATCAAAATTTAGTCTATATATAGCTGGAATAATCTATCAAACAACGGTAAACTCTAGACTCAACCAAGATGGCGCCCATGCATGTAATGAGAAGTACGTCATGTGCAAATAAAAAATGGATTTTCGATATCAAAACAAAAAACAAACAAACGGAAAAAACATACAGTTAAATCGTTTAACTATTTGGAATGAGTTTAGGTCAGTAACGGCTGAAGCTTGTACATCCAGTGGCAGTCAAGCTGTTCTAAACTAAAAATATTGACTAAGATGTTTACAACATTTTGAGAAAAGCCAACAACATGGATGAGGATAATAACACACTGTATAACTTTATAAGTCTATATTAAGTCTATAAGAAGCCAATAAAAACAGGTAATGCCATTAGCATTGAAGTTTTATGGCTGAGTTTGCCAACGTCGGAATAAATTATTCATGCTAAACGTTTTCTGCTGACAATTCGTTAATAATTGAAGTAATATTAATTAAAGAAGTTTCCATGGAGACAATATAATATTATTTGCTAGCAGTGCTATACCATATGTCTTGACGAAAGTGGGTCATTGAACTTCTGCATTATAGCTAGGTTAATTTGAAGAGTTCATATGGCCAATAAGCAGAAAAATGAATTCGACATGCAACTATAATAATACACAAGTAACACGACTGGCTCATGTTTTTTCTACTTTATTATCCAGGTGATCTCGTGTTCGTATTTTAGCCAATCAGCGCTCAGAAAGGGTTGTCCGAATGGAAATCCATTTTGATGTATTCAGTCAATTATATCTTTCGTTATTCTTTATGAAACTACTTGAAATTTTGTAATTATGTTTGGTTATAAGAACTATAGCTCTGACAAAAATATGGAATCGAAATAAAGTATATTACAGGAGATATTCAGTTGTTTTAATCATAAAATGGATTTCTATTTGACAACTAGTGCCAGTACTTTTCCGCGTATCAAGATCATCTGGATAGAATTAGCTGCACCTGCGGTGTCTGGAACGCTATACATAATTTATGACATAAGACTAGAATAATACTAAATAGGTCAATATATACATATATAGTACGTTTAAAGTGATCAACATGGGAGTTGTCTCCGGCTTAGCATTAGTATCAAAATGAGAAAATTAACCCACAAAAATATAGTCTTGTTATTTTTGTCATTGTATCGGTTGTACCTATAATATTTAGACAATATGAAACCGAAAACATATTATCCAAGAAAAGTTGGGAGAAAATCCATACGGCTACATATGATCGCACGAAAATTCGTAAGGTTAGCTGTGCTTGAATTCGCCCGGCATCATATGCCAAGTGTGGACGCAAACTCTACCAACACGGTGCTTGCAAATTCACTCCCGTGCATGTGAACAGAGCTAACAGCTTGAGCTAATTTCGACAAAACAAGGATTGGCAACTATGCAATTAATTCAAACCATTCTCCCCATTCCATTCAGTCTAGCTAAAGCCTGTTTTCCACCATACATAGACTGAAAGTGTTTAATGTTCCTCGGATGGTAAATTTGTCTTTTTCAAGTGTTCCTCAGAAGTGCGCAAAAACAATTGAAAATTTGACCAAAGGAATCATTGTATCATAATCCTTATCTGTTATTTGAGATTCAGAACTGTCAGTAGTTTAATGTTCAAATTTGGCGTAGGCCCTATATAGATTCTCCCTTGCGTGTGTGTCCTCATTTTCTTGCTAAAAATGTTCCCGAGATCCCACTTTTTCAGGTCTGTTTCCCACGGCCACGTATCGTAGAATTTTTTGTGTCGAAGTCATTAGTTGCACTCCCCAAGCGCTCAGGAAACAATGAAATACGCTATGCTTCGGTACGACACGGTTGAAGTGGAACTTGAACATGATTAACATATAGAAAACCGTTTCTGCTAAACTTAATTTTAATGCATATTCTTCGCTTGCAGTAACTTTACACAATCACTTATTCGAAACTGGCGATGGCGAATAATCGTCAATCGACTGATACAAGAAATGTTACCCACCCGTCGTGACGACGTCGATGTAAAACTAATTTGACGAAGTCTAACAAGAAAATTTGTGACACTATTTTGCAAAGACAATCGTAAACTGTGCCTTGCCCTTGGCCTTGGGCAGCTCAAATGAGTTAGACAATAAATATTTGTATTTACGACTATAAATTTAGCTAGCGCACTATTAAAGTGTTTGGCGACTTGTCAAATCGTCAAAATGCTATACTATATAGATACTATACCTCGAGTATCCTTTGCCATATAGACTTGGAACGTATAACTGATGTAGATTTCATTGTTTTTATATATTCATAAAGTATCAACCTTACTACTTAGGCTGCGGATATCGGATAACTATATATATAGCGTCCAAAACAACGTAATAGTCTGAAGACTTTTACTTAATCTGCAAATGCAAATTATTTTAAGCGGCAGACTGACTAAACAGGTGCGACTTTGTCTATTGTCCTACAATAACAACTATTTATGATAAGTAGATATCAAAAGACTCTCTTGGCATTTGCGGTTTCCGAAGTGCAATTAAATACGCCACATAGTTAATTTTACATCGACAGCGTACACTGATCAGTTGAATAATCTTTTCTGTTTTCCGTAATTTTTTACCCAGAAAATAAGCATAAGAAGTGCAACGCAAATAGAACATTCGAATTCTGAAGTGTTGCAATTGTAGAAGTGGATGAAAAAATGTCAGTCTTGTTATATAATATTTTGTTATTGCTAAAACTTACGCCGAATAGAACATTAATTTGAAAGTGGTTTAGAAGTGGATCAAAAAATTACATCAGCATGGCCCTTGTATATATGTTTTATTTATTCCGAAACCTAACGCCGATTTTTAACTTTATTTTTATAAATAAAAGTTTTAAATGACATATTGTAAACACTGGACTGGATTAGAT